TTTAGATAGTTAATAAAGAAGAATTAGAATTATAATAATTACTAAGTTATTAGACTAGAGATCTATAACTAGATAAGAATATTAGATAGTAGAGATTAGATTAGATAGTTAATATAAAGACTAATTCTTTAAAAAAATTAAGAATTCTAAATACTTATAGAATCTTGAATATACTAGTATTTAGATAGGTCTTAATATATAGATAACTTAAAGAAGATTTAGCTTTAGATTAGTATTAAGTACCTAGTATATTATATACTTAGAATCCTATAATAGTTAATTAATAAGTAATTAATAAGATTAAGGACTTTATTACTTAATTATAGAGGAATCTGATTATTCTGTTATATTATAATAGTTATTTTATAGAGATAGAAGGCTGCATATATATCTAATAGTATTTTTATAATTAAACCTTATTATTTTATTATCTATACCTTACTAGTTTAGAGAGTAGGTTTAGACAACCTTAGAACCCCTTTTATATAAGTCTAGGTAACCTTAGGGATCTTAGGATTATTTACCTTAAATAGGTAAATTTATCCTAGGTTGTAATATATTTATCTTTAGTTATATCTTTAACTAGATCTTAACTAGATCTTAGTTATAGTATTATAGGATAATATTTATAAGGTTAAGCATAATCTCTATCCTAAATAGGATTATTTTTTCTAGTTTACTAAGTATATATTAGCCTTAGTATTATTATATTAGATACTATTAATTAGTTATTGTAACGTGTTCTAGTATCTGGATTTCTATACTACTTGGCCAAAAGAGACCACAATATCAAAGCTCTTGCTTTAATATTTCCAGACTATATATATAAAGGATTATAGGTAGTACACCAGTATACAGGAATTCTGTTATATTTATAGTCTCTTATAATTTGATTATATTTAATTTGATTAATTTTAGTAATCTTTATTATAGAGATACCTAAAATATTCAGTATAGAATTCCTCTAGGATTAATATAGCAATAATACTATAAAATATAGCCTAAACCTTTATATTTTATACAAATCATATAATATTATTATTTATCCTACTTATAGGTAGGGTTGCTAATAGACATACCCATAGGTTTATATAGGTCTAGAATTTACTATTATATACTATTTTTATATATTTTTATTATTGTTTTTAGTGTTATTATTACTTTACTAGTTTTATATATTTAATTTAATGCTAGCAGTCACGCACTGACCTAATTAACTGTCTGCTAATTAGGTCACCTATAATTAAATAATCTTTTATAATTAAATAATCCTTTTTATATTCTATTGCTATTTTCTACTACTATAAAGGCCTAGGATATCTAGGAACTATTATATATAATTCCTTGCTATTAGTAGTAATATATAAAGCCTTTTTTGGTTAGAATAGACATATCTGGGGCCTCTAGGGCCTCTAAGCTCTCTGTAATTATATTATTTTTTATAATAGTCTTTTCTTGCTTAGTAATATTATCAGTTATATAGTATATAGTATTATATATTATTAATAGACTATATTTACCGATCTATTACCTTAATTTATATATAGTTTTAGGAGATTTTAGTAATTAGTTTTATAATATATTATCTATAATATTAATAAGGTCTACCTTACTAATATAGGCCCTAGTATATTAATTAATTATAGTATAAAGCTTTAGTAAAATTATCTCTTTTTCAGTACCTAAAAGCTTATTAAATTTATCCGTTAATTAGTATACTAAAAACCTATTTCTGAGAGATAATATAGGTAAATCTAAGCTAATTTATATAGTAGGATCTATACTATTAAATATCTAAAGATTATAGTTATTATAACTAAGCTCTTCTATTAATAGCTTAATAACTAGCTCTGGCTTAAATAGAATAAGGCTATATATAGTAAATAATTTATAAATAGTATATAGTATTATTACTTTTTAGTAAATAATCTTAATCTCTTTAAAAAAAGCTACTATTATATATATCTCTACCCTAGCTTATAACCTTATTATTTTTAGCCTTAAAGTATTACTTTAATATACAAAAGAGGCTTCTATTAAGTAGCTAAATAAGATTAGTAGTATAGGATAGAAAAATATAAGGAATAATATTATTAATCCTATATATTTCTAAGAATTCCTATATAAGATATAAACTATAGCTATTAAAAAATAATAATCTTCTGCTAGTTATATATAACTATATATACTAAATAAAGAAGTATAGCTAATCTATAGCTATTTTATTATTAGAAAAGCCTATAGATAATATAGCAACTAGATATTATTATAACCTATTTTAGGTTAAATATGCTAATCTAAAACCTAACCTACTAGGTTTTAGGTTATAGTAGCTAGAACCTAACCTAACCTAAAACCTAGTAGGTTATAAATAGATAACCTATTTTAACCTATTTAGACCTATTTTATTATAATTCTTTTATAATTTTTTATAACTTTTATATACTGTATTTGAATACTAGTTCTATATCTTTTTTTCTAGAAGGATTTAGATCTTAATATTATATATATATAACGGCAATGCCTAGGATTATATACTAATTCTAATAGACCAAAAAGTCCACTATATCAAAGCTCTTACTTTGATATTCTTAGGCACTGATATATATACTAAGGTAACGCATGGCAACTTATTAACCTGTGATAACTATCTTCCCTCTAAATAAGGTCTGTCCTCAGGCCTTACTATAGGTCAGAATAGCCAATACCTAAGAGAGGTATTCTAGCATTTAATTAGCCCGAATTACCTATAATTTCTAAGCACTAACTGGCCAGTATTTTTTCGCTAGGTAGAAAGGTATAGAACAGCTATAGATATATATATAAGTAGAACCTAAAATCGTATCTAAATATAGAGCTTTAACTGTTCTGGTTAGGGAGGTATATTATTATAGAAAGAGGATTTTACAAGCAGCCAGAATTAAACCTGTACTAGGTAACTTATCTATATACTGAATCCGGTAGGGACTGCCTAAAGAGCTTTAATATAATTATAACGGCAATGCCTAGGATCATATACTAATTCTAATAGACTAAAAAGTCTACTATATCAAAGCTCTTGCTTTGATATTCCTAGGCACCGATATATATACTAAGGTAGTGTACAGCAACTTGTCAACCTGTGACAATATATAGCTTTATCTAATATTAATTATTCTATATTTAAAATTTAGGATCTAAATATTAAATATTAAAAAATTTATTAAAAAAGTAAGACTTTATATAAAGATATATATATAATCTAGTAGGGTATACTACTATCTAGATATCGCCAGAACCTATGTCAACCATAACCTAACCTAACCCAACCTAGCCTAGAATAGGTTTTAGGTCTAATTCTATAACCTATTAATAGGTTTTAGGTTAAGATCTAAAACCTAAAACCTATATAGGGACCTAGTAGGTCCCTATTTTAGTATAAATAGAATAAATATACTAAGTATTTAAATACGGTCTGTATTAGATCTGTTTTTAGGCCTTATATATAGGTATTTTTAGTTTTTTATTTAATAATATTATTACTTTATATTATATATATATATATTACAGATTAGAAAGGTTAAAAATAGTATATTAAAAAATAAAATAAATTACAGAGTTCTATAGTAAAGATAGTAGTATACCCTATTAGATTATATATATATCTTTATATAAAGTCTTACTTTTTTAATAACTTTTTAAATATATAATATTTAGATCCTAAATTTTAGATATAGAATAATTAATATTAGATAAAGCTATATATAAAATATTAAGATCTAAATCTGTCTAGAAAAAAAGATATAGAACTAGTATTTAAATACAGCATATAAAAATTATAAAAAATTATAAAAGAATTATACTAAAATAGGTCTAAATAGGTTAAAATAGGTTACCTATTTATAACCTACTAGGTTTTAGGTTAGGTTAGGTTCTAGCTACTATAACCTAAAACCCAGTAGGTTAGGTTTTAGGTCAGTATATTCAACCTAAAATAGGTTATGGCGATGTCTACTACTATCTTTACTATAGAACTCTGTAATTTAATTTAATTTTTAATATACTATTTTTAACCTTTCTAACCTAAAATAGGTTATGGCGATGTCTACTACTATCTTTACTATAGAACTCTGTAATTTAATTTAATTTTTAATATACTATTTTTAACCTTTCTAACCTATAATATATATATATATAATATAAAATAACAATATTATTAAATAAAAGACCAAAAGTACTTATATATAAGGCCTAAAAACAGATCTAATACAGACCGTATTTAAATACTTAGCATATTTATTCTGTTTACACTAAAATAGGGACCTACTGGTTCCCTATATAGGTTTTGGGTTAAGGGTCTCAACCTAAAACCTATCAATAGGTTATAGAATTAGACCCAAAACCTATTTTGGGCTGGGTTGGGTTGGGTTAGGTTATGGTTGACATGGGCTCTGGAGATGTCTACGTCTAGCCTTCTATAGGGTGCAGGGTAATCAGCCCTAGATTAACAACCTTTTATATACGCCTGTAGGTGCTGTACGGGAACACAATATTCACGCAACAGTGCAGCGAAATTAGGCTTTTTGAGAGTCCTAGTCTTTTGGCAGCCTGCGTTTACACGCTTATTGATAGTTATTTTGCTTAAATCTATAGTAAAAAGGTAGTGGTGGTGGTAAATATACAAAAAGGATCGTTTAATCGTAAAAGATCGTTCAATCGTGGGTGACCCAATTGGCGGGCGGTCAATTGGGTCGGTGTGTGACTGCTATTCGTAATATTTCTATTGGTACTTAATAAAAAGTAGGGCGAGGCTGTTGATCATCAGAAACTTTTATCCCCTGACTAATCAAGAGCCAAGATATATTGATAATACTAGCCCTGAAGAGGTCTAGCGTATTACCTTGACTACCATTCTATCCGAATCACCCCACCCCAACTCCTTCGAGTCTTACACCATAGAGATGCTCTCTTAACTCGCTCAAGATTTTCTTTGATATACAAGTATAGGATTAATACTCTCTATGATTACCAGCTCTCAAGGCCCAAACAAGCCACTAGTCATTTTTTGGCGCAACCAGGCCGATTCTGCTGCCTACGAAGCAGCACGGACACAGCGACTTTTCAATGCCCAAAGCCCAGCACGATATCCGCTCGCAATTGCGTTCGTGAAGACCCAGTCAGAAGTCGCGGACACGGTCAAACTCGCAATTGAGAAAAACTGTCGCCTCTCCGTTCGTGCAGGTGGACACAGCTATGCAAGTTGGAGTGTCCGGGACGAGGCCATCCTCGTGGATTTAAGGGATCTGTCGGAGGGACCGATTCTCGATAACAACACCGGTATTGCTCATGTGTCGCCTAGCATGACGGGGAATGATTTGGTGAGTTATCTTTCCGCAAAAGGTCGCTTCTTTTCGCCCGGGCATTGTCCAAATGTTGGACTAGGGGGGTTTCTTCTCGGCGGTGGCATGGGCTGGAATTGCAATGTACGTGGGATCTTATGCCCCTCATGCTCCACTTTCAAAGTAATTGCAAGACATATACTGAGCAAAAAAAAGAATTGGGGCTGGGCATGTGAACAGGTCGTCGCTGTGGATGTCGTAACAGCCGATGGTTCACTTGTTCGTGCAGACACTCAGCAAAACGCAGACCTTTTTTGGGCAGCAAGAGGTGCTGGCCCAGCATTTCCAGGTGTTGTCACACGCTTCCATTTGCAAACTAGGCCAGCTCCAAAACAGATGCGCTCATCGGGATATGTTTATCCTATCAAACATTACATGACGGCGTTCAACTGGGCGTTGAAGGTATTAACAAAAGCCAATCCGTTAACAAGAGACCATATTGATCTGGGTCTAGATCCCTTCTGGCTTGGACGATGGCATCGAGATTGTCGCTATTGGCAGCTATCCTGAGGGGTTGGATGAACCCTGTATTACGCTCGCGATACTCGTTTATGGCGATCAAGAAGAATCTATATCTGAGATCTTGCAACGCCTGGACGAGTCTCATCCCAAAGGGGCAGTGGCACGCTGGTTCTGTGAGGAAACCACCATCCAGAAAGAGTTTGAGAAAAAGGCTCAAGCTTACCCGACCGATCACCGGTACTTCGTTGACGATGCGTGGCTCAAAGACGACATCGATGTTGCTGCGGTCCTCAAACCAGCCTTCACAAAATTGCCAACTAAGAAGTCGTTGGTCCTGTGGGAGTCCATGATTCCATGTAGTCGACGCAATCTTCCTGATATGGCGGTTAGTATGCAATCTGATCACTATGTTGCACTTTATGCCATATGGGAGCATGAAGTTGATGACACCCGGTGTCACTCTGTAATAAATGAGATCATGGAGCAGGTTGGAAAACAGTCTGTCGGCGCATACCTTGGGGAGGTTGACTTCAGGACCAGAAAGACCAAATTCTGGGGAGATGAGCAGCGCAAAAGGATCATGGAAATCCGGCACAAGTGGGATCCTAAGGGCCGGATTTGCGGCTGCCTGGGGTTAGATGAGATGAACGGCTTTTGCCACCCTGAAAAAAAAGGGTAGACGAAGCCAATTTTCCCAATCATATCTCCAAATCGAAGATGGGGGATATTCACGTGTAGCCGATCCCCTTTTTTGATGTCTTCTCCACGTATCTTGGTGCCCAGGCCTAGAACCTTTGGGGTTTTGTAATCATCGTATCTCCCACTCAAATCTACCAACTCGTGTAATATAAGCCTAGTAAATATGATTTGAGTGCATTAAATACGCGATACTAAGTATAAAGAAGAGATAAAAAGATAGGGGGCATCGCAGGTAAGCGGCGAGACTACGCTTGGCCTAAATCAACAACAGTATCTAGTCCTGAGTATTACATTATTCTCTTATAAAATATAATTTATTATTAAATCGGTTTTTTATAATATATGTAACTTTTAAGATAGATATTATCTATCAGAGTAGCCACTTAGTTTATACACTAAAATAAAAGGCCCAGTTTGTTATATAGGTTTGCTGTAGTTTACTGCTAGGCTCCCTATCTATAGAATCTATTAGTCTTTTTCTTATGTTTAGCTACTCAAATATAAGGGAATTGTTATAGTGATGCTCTACCTAAAGATAGAAGTATAGGAGAAGAAAAAAAAAATCATTAGTAACTGTAAGTATTTTGGTGTAGCCCCGGTCCTTTTAAGACGTCTTTTTTTGGCTTCAAATACCCCTCAGGAAGCCCGCTGATTAATAACAAGAGCCTCACCGTAGGAGCTGATGTCATACCCATGCTCCTCAAGATATGCCTTGAAACGAGCATCCTCAGTTTCCAGCTCCCGAGACATGTCAGGGATCAGAAACCAAGAAATAAGACCGCCGACCACAGTGAAGGCGGCACCGATGAGAAAGACTGCCTGCTGACCCTTTTCAGTAGACGAGAAAGAGTTTTGAATAGGCGTAAAGACTTCTGTACCGATAGAGGCACCAGCCTTGCCTACCGCAGCAGCGAATCCAAGGAAGTGTCCACGAAGAGGAGTTGGGAAGGACTCTGCCGCACAAAGAAAGGTAGAAACACCAGGACCCATCTCACCCAGGGCTTGAAAGATGCCATACATCACGACGAAAAGAGGGAAGACACTCGAAATAGGCTTCAAAGCGCCACCAAGAATAAAGCCCCAAATTGCCCAAAGCATGAATCCGAGAGTCATGTTTTGCTTGCGACCGATTTTATCCATTAGAAGTCCACCAATGATACAGCCAGGCAGGTAGAAGCAGTTAATCACGGTCTGTGGATACTTGATTAGCTTCATGATGATTTATTCTGATATTAGAGATACTTACTCCGTATCCGATGTTCTGGACAGTGGTATTGTCCGGGTTCAGTTGTTCAACGATGGTAGAAGAAAAAAGACCGAATGGATAAGTGACGAAATCGTAGCAAAACCAGGCCAGGGCTTTCCAACGTTCAGGTTAGTTTATTGAAAACTCACACGAGATATCATAAATATAGAAGATATTACTCACAAGTGCCAAGCATAGGCTTCCAATAACGCTTGAGAACCAACCAGTATGGGTAGCTGGACTTGATAGAATGCTTCTGGTATTGAGTGGAATTGATCATGCGAATGCGGAAAAAGCAAATCGAGATTGGCAACTATTGCTCGGTTAACAAAGCTCGAAGACTGTAGCAAGTTTTCTCGGAGTCTTAAAAGAATACCCACCACAATACCAAGGCCAAAAGCGATCCTCCAGACACCCTCAGAGTTTTGTTGGTCGTAGCAAGCCAGAATGATGAGAGCAACAACGCCCGCGGCGACAAAGCCCTGTTGGCTGATTAGTAACTTTCATTTATGACGATCGTAGCTTCAAGTTGATCATCCATACTAAATCCACAGCAAAATCAGTTGTCGCTGCGACCAAAAAACCACGTCGCTTGCGGAGCTGAACAGTCTCATCTGCAGCCTCGGTAGCACTGGTTGCGCAAACCGGATATTCTCCGCCTGCACCAAATCCTGCGATACCTCTTGAAACAATCATCATCCAGAACATTCTGTATACCAAAGAGTCAATGTTGCGTTCTGAGTCCATATAAGGGCGAATAAATAAATACCCGAGCTCTGATTTTCCATGCGACGCAGTAGCCAAGACTACGCCGAGAATCAAGAAGGCCGTAGCTGCCACTACACCGGTCCGACGGCCGATGCGGTCAATCAGAACACCGAAGAAGAGCATTCCGAAAATTTCACCGATGAGATATGAATTGGAGAGACGGGACTTAATGGTGGAAGACATGCCGTTCACGTAACTGTACATTGTTAGTCAATATGTTCTCTTTAATGGAGACCTATCACTCAAACCACCAATACTCACAGGACGGAGAACAAGGGTTCCATGTATCCAACTGCGATTCCAAGTCAGATATCCTCCAGAGCTTTCAGCCACAGTCTCCATGAACTTCAAAAACTTGGCATGAGAGGAAGGAGGCTAAGACGTACTTATCTGAGCATTGTATCCGTCACTGAAGAGCGCAAGGCCGGATACGATCACATTGAGGATTCCGGAGCGCTTCTTTTCTTCGGGGGCGGTTTCCTCGAGATCCCAAGCTTCCTCGTTACACGGCTCCTTGGAGCTCTCCATTTTCATGGTGGAGTCACTAGGTGAAACTTGCATCGGCTCGGTGTGCTGAGGGTAAGGCGGAAGAATGTAAGGGAAAGAAGGGATGTCCTAGGGAAACCTGACATGGATCGTGCTGGAGACGGCCATGCTTTGTATAGTCGTGCAGCTGTTGCGACTGGTCCCGATCAAGATACAAGCCTCTTGTCATTTGATTTGGTAGATCCAATAAAAAGCTAGAGCGGGTGCACGCGAAAGATAGTAAGGGCTGTCGGTGTGAAGTGCGAGGTGTCACTGGTTCCACTGAAGGCCCTCGGGGCAGGTCTAAGCTCCGCTGCGTGACATTGACCTAATATACTGGAGACTGTTCATGCACGTGTTTGGGAATGGACCTTATACAGATTTAGAGGAAAGGTACAGTTGTATGCAGGAGAGCGAGTCTATTTGTGGTCCCTCAGTGGACTGCGGGGCCCGGCCCGAGTGTCCACCACCAATCATTCAGGCCATGTGCAATTTACGGGGCCCCGCGACTGGGTAAAAAGTTCCCACTAGTTCAATCTAGCAAGCCTTTATGTAGGAATGAAAATGGGTCCCAATAAAAATATGGGACACCATGTGTCAATGGGGTGGGGATCTCGGTGCGAAGCGCGAGGAGTGAAACAGCCTAACTAGGAAACCGGCGGTAACCACCCGATGCCTCTTCCCGATGCCTCTTCCCGATCTATAAAACGCGCGTATCGTCGATTTCCAATTCCAAGAGCACGTTCCTTATCCCACCGGTCACTTATTTATTCTTTTCATTGGACATATGCTCCTATCGTCACGATGGACAACTATCACTACGCTTTGACCCAGAAGCAACTCCAGAGCTTCCAGGAGCGTGGCTATCTTCTCGTGCGCAGTTTCTTCACTGCCGAGGAAGCGAGGATCCTGCAGCAATGGGCCCAAGAGGTGCACGATTTGCCCCGAACTCCTGGTGTCCCCTGGATGCCTTACGAGGAGGTCAATGGGCAAGGTGACCGGGTCTTGTGCCGGACAGAGAACTTTGTCAACTCCCATCAAGGATTCGATAGCTTTCTTCGGGGTCACCGAGCTTTAAGTACTCTTCAGCAGCTAGCTGGCGAGGATATGCTTCTGTTCAAAGAGAAGATCAACTATAAACTCGCTGGAAGTGGTAAGTCTCGAAAGAACCTGCAGCCTTTCATTATTATTTTCTTACCAGATTCTACAGGCGGTTTTGATCCTCATATTGACGCTAATGCGTATACTCATGTCAGAAATATTAAGCACTTGACTATTCTTGCTGCCGTTGACATTATGAATGGCACCAATGGTGGCCTTGAGGTGGTTGATGGCAGCCACCGCATGGAAATCCCTCTGGGAAAGGATCGTTGCATTGAGCCGACTTGGGTCAACGGCCATACTTGGACCCCCTGTGACCTCGAGCCAGGTAAGCTCAAACAGCCTTGATTTCTGTAAAATCGGGACTAATCGGTAAATTCAGGAGACATTCTTGTTTTCGGATCTTATTTGGCCCACCGCAGTGGCGCCAACACTAGCTCCAAGGATCGTCGTGCCATCTATGCGACCTATAACCGCGCCGCCGAGGGCAACCTGCATGATCAGTACTATGCCGATCGACAAAAGCTGTGGCCTGCAACACATATGCGCAAGGAGGGCGAGTCCTATGAGGAGGGTCGGGTGCGCTATGCCTTTGGCTCTCCGATGTTGACCGTAGATTCAAGCAAGAAGGAATTGGTATCTGCAGTTTAGTTAAATTAATTTCGAAAACACAAGAGGATGAGAGGAAAAAAGAACGCGAAAGGAGGGAAATTTGAATTCATCCCAAACGCAGGAGTAGGCTATTGATACCGTATCCACCTGAGCGAATACCTTGTACAATAAGACAGTTAATGAGCAAGCGCGGAAGTGCCCTACATCAATTCAATGAAGAAAAATTAATTTCTAAAGCAATCCATTTTCAGATTAACGTCATTGAGTCATTTATTTATAAAACAAGAAGAGACCCAGGTCCATGGATATCTAATTTTCCGCTGTGTGGCAAGACGAAACCCCTGGAAAAAGTGTGAGGTAAGTACTTAAAGTGGCCCAATCCCCGTGGAATTTCCCTCTCGCCCAATTTCCTCCACCACCCACCACTTTTCTACACACCTGGGACTTCTATCCGTAACTCCCAATCCACTAACCCAATGGAGCTACCATCACCATCTGTGAGAGCTGATTCTCTCATCAGTGCTCTGGAGCAGTATGGCCAAGGTGATTATATTGGCGAATCAATTAGTCAGCTTGAACACTGTTTACAGGCAGCTCACCAAGCCCAGAAATCTGGTAAGACGCATGCCTGGAAATTTGCCGCATGATGACTCTAACACTACTTGACAGGTGCTGGTGATGAACTGGTGATTGCAGCGTTGCTGCATGACATTGGGCAGATAATTCCTTTGAATTCCACCAACGAGGTCCGCATGAACCTCCGCGGAAGCACAGAGAATGTCGGCCGTGTAGGCCACGAAGCTATTGGAGCCGCCTACCTTCAATCCCTGGGATTCAGTCAAAAAGTTTGCAAGCTTGTGAATAGTCATGTTGCTGCGAAAAGGTAGGTGACCTAGGGTTCAAAAAGGCCACTTTTCAGTATCATATTAAACTCATCAAATCATGATCAGATACCTTACAGCGGTGGATCGCTCATACTACGACTCCTTGTCTTCCGCCTCAAAAAGGTCTTTGGCCTTTCAAGGAGGTCCGTTCCAAGGAATTGAGTTTCAGGAGTTCGAACAAGATCCACTGCGGGAAGCAATGGTTTCTCTCCGACTTTGGGACGATGCGGCTAAGCTAGAGGGTGTGGAATCAACAACCCCGCGCGCACGAACTTATCTGGACATGATTACGGCTCATCTGAGTCAAGGTCAGACTTCCTAGCAGGGCACTTTGATTGGAATTAATTGTTCGAAGCTTTCTTGGGCGCAATGACCGAAGGACCATGTTATTCCACTTTATTATTGACTAAATTTTGTTTCTGGACATTATCGAAAATTGTACCAATATTTGTTTGATGCTTTCTAGGTTCATCACTGGAGGCTGGGGTGCCTGCGAGGAGGCCTTGGTAGGGAACCGAGGCAGAGGCAGAGGCAGAGGCCGAAAAACCGCACTTCTTTTCTTTTCCTCGTCTCTCCACGATGCAGTAAATTTCAAGGGCCAAGCCCCGGAGTAAGATCGGATGTGTAATATCAAGGTCTGTCAGGTTTTTTAGGTCACTTTTTGACTGTTCTTTAGCTTTACTAGAATGCGGACACTGTAAAATGTAAGAAGGGCGATGAGGTACTTTCTTTCAATGGGTTCGGGGACCCCAGAAACGTGGGGTAAGTCGGGATGTGGAGAGATTATTGGCTTTCGTAGCCTGTGCACGTACATAATACATAACAATATGTGGCTTATAGAGCCCAGTAATTCCAAACTAATGCCATGAAAATTCGGGTAAATGTGACCCGAAAGTGAATTATTCCAATAGCACTGGAGGTACCACCCGTAACTTTCTGCTGACCACGTCTTGAAGGATGCGAGGCAGCTCACTCCCTTGGGAGCCCCTTTCCCCCCCTGGTTTAGTGTTACGAGAACCAAGACCATCAGTATCATTGCTCGGTCAGATGATAGCCCCGCAAAACAAAGTGAATGGCAAGTGCCTCCGGCATTTAAGCTCCGGCTTTCCCATGATTCTCCTCATAATTATTTCACTTTGAATTACAAAGTCTTAGGCCTTTGCCCGACTGAGTCTCTTGATATTCTTTTTGCTGAGTCTTATATCTTCTAGACTGGCATCATCATGGCAAAGGAGATTTCCGATACACAGATCGAAGATGCGGGTCATCGCCCCAACAGTCCATCTTGCCTTGGACCCGACCCAGGCACGATCCAAGGACGAGCGATTCAGCAGCAAGAACACAATCGGGGATACTTGGAAACTCTCAAAAAGGACCCTTGGCTCTTATTCTGGATTGGAGTCATGCTTTGGACTCTGATTGTGCGGGGATTCGAGAATCAATCCTCTGGCGCTGTTATTAGTATCCCAGAGTTCAAACAACGATTCGGTCAACTCCAAGACGGACAGTACTTTATTGAAACTAAATGGCAGTCAGCTCTGAGCGGGGGCTCAAATGCAGCTGCTATCGTGGGCTCATGGGCTGCCTCCTACTTTGCCGACAAATTCGGGGTCAAACCTGTCATTCTGGCAGCGGCAGCTATCAACATTGCATCAGTTGGTGTTGAATTTTCTAGCACCTCGATCGGCATGTTTTTCGGGGGCAAGATGATCAATTTTATTGCAATTGGTGCATTTCTTAACATCTGCACTGCATATGTTGCTGATGTTTCACCACTTGCCATTCGATCATCTGTCATCGGTTTTTGCAATCTATCTCAATGTATAGGTCCTTTTGTCTCCGCCATCATGTCTTATTACACATCTTCATGGGAGAGTGCTTGGTCCTGGAAGTCTTTGATCTGTGCCCAATGGGGATTTGCTGTGGTTGGGCTGATCGGACAAATCTTCATGCCCGAGTCACCTGTCTACCTCGTTCGAAGAGGCAAGATCGACCAAGCCCGAAAATCTTTGAACCAGTTTTACTCGGACCCTCGTGATGCTGAAGGCCATTTGGAACGAATCAAGCTAACACTTGGGGAAGCCGAGACACAACAAGATTCAGTATCATACATTGACTGCTTTCGGGGAACCAACCTTCGCCGCACACTGATTGCGATTATGGTTTTCTTATCCGAACCAATGTCAGGACTCGGATTCGTTTCTAATTATGGCGCTTTAATGTACCAGTATCTAGGAATAGGCGATCGACAATCATTTCTGATCCAAATAGGTGCTCAAATCCTTTCAATGTCTGGAGCAACCATTTCTTTTCTGATTAGTGATATGTTTGGCCGGAGACCTATGTACTTGGGTGGATGCATTGGTTTAACCCTATTACTCCTTTGTATGGGGATTGCAGGTTCGGTGGACACGAATGCCGCAACTACCGCCGCAGTGGGCTTCTACACCATGTATAACTTCTTCTACAATGCTGGCGTGGGGTCCAATGTTTATACCATCGCTGGAGAGGTTCCTACTTCGGTCCTCCGGACTAAGACACTTGCTGTGGCCCTCTCAGTCTCTGCGGCAGTCAACACAATGTGGTCATTCGTCGCGCCTTATATGTTCAACCCTGGATATGGCGGACTCAAAGCCAAGATCGGCTTTGTTTTTGGCGCCTTTATGTTGCTATTTGCTGTCATGGCGTATTTCTTCATCCCAGAGACTCGTCGACGCACATATGAGGAGCTTGATGAACTTTTCATGAATCGTGTACCAACTCGAGAATTCCGTGAATATGTCACTCTGGCAGAGCGGAGAGCTGCAGAAGCTTACCAAGTGACCGAAAAGGTGCCAGAAGCTGTTAGAGTGTGAGAAAGAGAGGGAGACTCAGTACATTGGTCATCAGGAGTGGAAGGGGGCAGTTGTTTAGGACCGAACCATGATTTCAAGCTACTTGCAATATCTTCTCTTGTGCGAAGTCAGTGTATACTTTACTTTACCTCATAATTTAAGTATATGGACCAAATATTATTTATCTAGTAGAGATTCTGTACTTGAAAGAGGTTAAAACTTCTGATATAATAGCGGGACTTGAGTGAACTTATTCTATTGATGAACACTCTTCCAGTTTTTTTGCCTAAATAATTTTAGGCAACCCATTTCAATTATTTAAATAGACGTGTCATTTTGATTCCGAATCATCAGAGCTTTTCTATTGAGAGCTGTATCGCAATGCAGGTAAGCTTTTGCTTGGCCTAGCTAGAGGCGCCGTGCTAAGTTACAACTACTGCCAGCAACTCGAGCAATATGGCAAATGCCAATATAATCTCTGGAAAAGGAGGCACCAAGACAAGTTGCAAGGAGAGCTTTCAGATACAAATATAAAAGAAGGATGATATCTGGTAGAAGTACACAATTTTGCAAAGACGACCGTACATAGGGCCCCCCAACCTTCCACCATATGAAAAAAAAATTAGTCTAATAAGGCTTCTGGTATCATTAGAAATCCTATAGAATTTTACAAAATTGATGCCTTTATTCTTTAAGACTTCAGTAAGTTGTTCCCCTGTTAAACTCCTGATTTTATTAGCCAAGGTTCATGAACTTATGACCTCGGTCGGGATGAACTTCACTTGTAGGGCAATCCAAAAATAAAAATAAGAATAAGAATCCAGCTTGTAGTCCGACTCTGGTCCTTTATTTCGTCGATTGTTTGCTCTAGTTGCAAGTCCTTCGCAGGCCGTGCTGGTTCGTTCTTAGAATGTGGCAAAGGCATTAAACATTGAGACAGGCATGTCCCTACCTTCCCACCAATAGCTCATTTACCCCCTTACGTATTCTCGTAACAGAAACGCCATTCCTCATTAGCAGGGGTTATTTTTTCTCGCTGTTGCTGAGACCGAGATAAAGCCAAAGTTCCACCCCCACCCCCACCCCCCTCAGCGGATCCACACGCCTATTGGGTGGGTCTCACCGGCGGCTGCTTCGGCCAAGGTTCACGATGTCGAGTATGAGTACTCGAGCATCAGTTCGTGATAAAAACAGTCCGAGAAAGCGGAAATTAACAATGCATCGAATATCCCAGCACGAATAATTCTCTCGGGATGTGGAGGAATTGATTTATTTTCTTGGCGTAAATCGTGATAATTTCCAGCGCAGGATTGCGGCGCTGAATAGCCGCAAAGGGTCCAATACATAGTTCTGTTAGGGTGTTTTAGGTCACCTGTAACACCGGCATCGCAAAACCACTAGTTTTACCAATACAAATTTGGACCCTGAGCAGGACTTCCGGGGCCCGTTGGGGCTATGGAGCGTCGTATTGCAGGGTTCTCCATGAATTCCCCGCCATATGAAGCTGGGGAAATAGAGATTCTTCTCCACGAAATGAGGAACCACTTCCCGCTGATAGATGCGTTGCTGTTGTTGACGATCCTCGCCTTTTACGGAATTCCTGGAGGACTACATAAGATGGCGTGTTCGCGACCGAAGAATTGTAAGTTATCGAAATCGACGAAGCACAAGCACAAGAAGCCTTCAGCTACATTGCATGATCAATTGCTTTTCAAAAACAATGAATTTGATGAATTCCATGATATTGAAGTCCCTGCTAGCAGGAATTACTTTTTGTCGCCCTGCCGCATCAAGGAATTATCTGGACTGGACAACATTCAATGCTGTCGGCGCCAACCTAGGCGGCTGGCTCGTGCAAGAATCAACCATCGACACTACATGGTGGGCCCGGTACTCTGGAGGTGCGGAGGATGAATGGGGTCTCTGTGCCTACCAGGGTAGTCTATGTGGACCGGTCCTAGAACGCCGATACGCGACTTGGATCACCACCGCCGACATCGACATCCTAGGTGCGGCTGGAGTCAACGTTCTTCGCATCCCAACTACATATGCGGCCTGGGTTGAAGTCCCGGGGTCACAATTATATCATGGCAACCAGCAGTCCTTCCTTGCGAGCATTTCCTCGTATGCTATCAATAAGTACGGCATGCACATCATCATCGACATCCACTCGCTTCCAGGTGGTGTAAATGGGTTTCCCTTTGGCGAGGCCAGTGGACACTATGGCTGGTTTAACAACCAAACTGCTCTTAAATATTCACTGGAAGCTGTTGATGCGGCTATTAATTTTATTCAAAATTCGAACTCGCCGCAATCATATACGTTGGAGCCTATCAATGAACCCGTCGACGTTCAAGACCTCTCTCTATTCGGAACCCCGTATTGTCTTACCGACAGTGGCGCAGCATACTTGGCAAACTACATGCATCAAGTCATTGCAAAGGTTGAGGCTGTGAATGGAGATATCCCAATCATGTTTCAAGGCAGTTTCAAGGGCGAAGCGTATTGGTCTTCGAACTTCAGCGCCGAAACAAATCTGGTATTCGATGTGCATAATTATTATTTCCAAGGTCGAGCGGCGTGCCCTGGCAATGTGACACAGCTCATTTGCACAGATGCTGTCAATTCTGCTGGAGATGGAAAATTCCCGACATTTGTGGGCGAGTGGTCTATTCAGACGGAGATTGGCAATAGCCTAGCATCGCGTGCGAGGATACTTGAGACTGGCCTTGGTGCGTGGAAAAAGTACACTCGGGGTAGCGCATATTGGACTACGAAGTTTATAGGGAATGCCACTGTTGATGGGGAGGGAACTCAGGCGGATTATTGGAATTATGAGACATTTATCAGCTTGGGATATACCAAGTCGACATCCGCAGCTGTGTTGTGTTAAGCTATTCCATACGACCAGTTACATACAGTTAGGGCTAGGAACGAATCACATGCTTGTTGCCTGTCGTTGCCTTATGTATTAGGCACCAGTCTGTCTACCGATTACCACACCTCTTTCTTTCCTCATGCTTGGTACTTTTGACAACTATTTCTACATTGTTATTCATCATAATCATCATCATTGTATTTGAGCTGTTAAAATAGGATATTGAAAAAGTTGAATTCAAATCCTAGATTTGATCACCCATAATATCCTCATCAACCTCAAATCTACTCTCGTCCTCTGCTACTGAATAGTCTGTGCCAGAACCATTCCAAGTCTGACTCTTTTGCAAGTGATCGATAAACTCATCACCAAGCCCTATATCATTATTGCTCTTCTTAACGCTCGCGATAAGGGCCTCCAGGGTCTGACTTTCTCTCGCAAGCCTTCCCTGTACCTGGAGTTCATGCAATTGAGAAGAGGGATGGGCACTTGGGAATCGTAGCATCGTGCCTTCGGAATGACCGGGAGTGTGTACCAAGGTCGCAGATACGGAGCCAGACATGATGAGGGAAGCAATGACCGACTCAGCCGCATCGGTATTCGCCGGTAGTGAAGATGTTTGCTCTGAGAGCTCAGTCACGGTCAAGGCGGCGAATACGCTTCTGATACCCGCTAGCGCATGTGCTGTGAATGACTCTAAGACCTGGGAGACCAGACCGGTGTTGTTATCCTGAAAGATAAGATGATTAGCGAAACATGCCATTAAAAAAACAAGCTGTTCGGTCCGGAAGGCTGGACTTACAGCACGCCAGATATGCTTGGCTGCATCAATCTCGGCATTCAATCGGCTCAAGTCGCGGAGCTCGAAAGTATGCGCGAGATTGACATACGGCCTTGCAATAGACTGGTACGTTTTGTACACATGCGGAGCTACCATAGTAGGAGACGGGCGAAGCTAGAACATATGTTAGAAACAGAGGGAAGCATGAGGGTTCGGCTCGGCTCACCTTGCCAGTCTCCAACAAGCCCACCAGTACCCATTTCTTATAAGCCTCTACCATGATCATGCTAACAGGACCAGTAGTAGGCATCGACATGACAAGTTCTAGAAAATGGGAAGCTTCGCTCCATTTCTTGAGTGCTAAGTAGACCATTCCGCCGTACAGGAAATATCTCGAGAGATCTCTGGAGCTCAGCGGAGCGGATAGACCGGAGCTGTTAGTGATGAATGCCAGACTGGATTCATGGTTGGCACATAGCACCGGGGAAGACTTGTGGGGAAAGCGTTCTGTCGATCCAGGGAAATGACAGATGTGCTTGTTGAGAACGGGTAAGATGCAAGCATAGGCTTTGGCGTGCAGACAGAGACGGACGAGAAGGAGGTGAGTTGATGTGAATACGGCGCAGGATGGATCCAATCGCAACATGGCATCTTTGATTAATTGCGTAGCAAGGAACGGCTTGAAGATTGTCAGTCTCTCAGCAACTCAAGAGAAATCCAGATATTCCCAAATCTTACCTTGGAGGCGGCCTGCGCAGCTTGGGTCACGAGCTCGACAAGCTGCCGCCATTCATGACCGACATATCGGACTTGAATAGGATTGAAGTTTTTCAAGTAGTGTACGCATTTTGTCCATAAGACCCCGGATGGAAGCAGGTCTGCGGGCAACTTGTCTGGGGATATTTCTTGCAATGTCTGGATCTGCAGTCGCAGTAGGAAGAGGTAAGTGATTGCATCGGCGGCAGGGTCAAAGTTCTAGAAAACAAAATGAATGGTTAGCTGAATGTTACCACAGGTCGGTTTCATAGAGAGAGCGCTACCCACATCTAGGATAGTCGGGTCATTGGCAGCAAAGTTGAGGGCGTTACTCGATGACGATCGATGAAGAGAGGCAACCAGATCCCGTATTTGACGATCATATTGTTCTTCGTATCGATGTGCAGAGTTCTGTAGCTTCGTGGAGCTTGCGAGAAGGGTCGCGATGGAGGCCATGGGGGCTACTTAACCCAAGGACGGTTTGGTTGGGCAGTTGAAGCGCAGACACGGTCGACAAAGCTGAGGCCAGTAGAAAACTGGAGACTCGAGATACAGCTCTGAAGGATGTATACCGTGATCAGCGGATGGTCCGAGTCGGGGGAAAATGGGCAGTGAGTGACGTTAGGTTGAGGGACAGCTTTATGGGCAGATAAACAGCGGAGAGCGGAAGGCGGAGGGCGGAGAGAAAGGCGGAGAGTAAGGCGGACAAAGAAAACAGAGCAGAGTGCGTATGTACGGAGTACTAGAGTAGTGGATCACCCCACCATAGTTAATTACTGCCACCACCAGTTACTAGCAGTACTCTATGTAAGCTATGTGCCCCTCGACCTGACTCATCCCCGCTTCCCGCAAATTTCCCTCCCCGCCAACTTGGGATTATTTGACCCTCAACACCAAGATGTCATTGACGGACTCTAATGCGGTGGATGTCGCTCGCAGCGCATCACTAGCCTCTCGTCAACTCGCAACCCTGTCAAACGAAGCCCGAAACGAAGCCCTCACGCTACTACACTCGGCTCTGGACAAGAACCGAGCCATAATTCTCGCTGCCAACAAGAAGGATGTCGAATTAGCCACCCAGGCCGCAGAGGATGGTACTCTGAACCACAGTGTCCTTAAGAGGCTGGACCTCTCCCGCCCTGGCAAGTATGATGACATGTTGGAGGGAATCTTGAGTGTCCGTGATTTGGAAGACCCAGGTGTGTACCCTCCACTACATTGCTGATTAGATTGGAAACTAACCACCCGGGGAACTTTAAGTTGGCAAAATCACACTACGGACGCTCTTAGACGAAGGCCTCACCCTAGAGAGAGTCAGTTGCCCCATCGGTGTTCTGCTGATCATCTTCGAGGCTCGCCCTGAGGTGATCGCAAACATCGCAGCACTGGCTATCAAGTCCGGCAATGCCGCTATTCTGAAAGGTACGTACCATTGATTGTTTTATTTTGGCTTATGGCGAATAATCAATGCAAGTGCTGACACTGAAAAATGAATAGGCGGCAAAGAATCCACAGGATCATTTGCAGCGATCGCAAACGTGGTCTCGGACGCCATTGCCGGTTCCCAAGTCCCCGTTTCATCAATTCAACTTGTGAAAACGCGCGATGCGGTTTCTTCCCTTCTCGCCCAAGACTCATTCATCGATCTCGTCATCCCCCGTGGATCTAACGAACTGGTCCGTCACGTCAAAGAGAACACCAAGATCCCAGTTCTAGGCCATGCAGACGGACTATGCTCCGCCTACATCCACTCCGACGCCAAGGTCCAAACTGCCGTGAAAGTGATCGTCGATTCCAAGACAGATTACCCCGCAGCCTGCAACGCTCTCGAGACATTATTAGTACACGAGAGTGTGCTCGAATCCATTCTCCCCGAGGTTGCTTCGGCTCTATTGGCCAAGGGAGTGTCACTACGCTGTGACCAGCAATCCCTGGAAGTCTTAAAGAAGGTGGTGCCAGCTGATAAAGCCAGCCAAATCTCCTCAGCCACGGATACCGATTACGAAACCGAATTTTTGGACCTGGTGTTGGCTATCAAGACTGTTTCCTCGGCCGAGACCGCAATTACACATATTAATACCTTCCACTCTGGACATACGGATATTATCCTCACCGAATCCAGTCAGGAAGCCAATCGTTTCATGAACGGCATTGACAGTGCGGGTGTGTACTGGAACGCATCTAGTCGATTTGCGGATGGCATGAGATATGGATTTGGCACAGAAGTTGGTATCAGCACCAACAAGATCCACTCCCGAGGACCCGTTGGTCTGGAGGGTTTGACAATCTATAAATATTTGATTCGCGGAGATGGTCATGTGGCCGCAGATTATCATGACGGCGCGGGGGACGGAAGTACCTTCACAAGAAGTTGGAACTCTAAACCCTCTCTTACCTAGCCCGCTAGAAACCATACCAAACCGTCATCACTACAGATAGTATGCAGATAAATATTTAAGCCGCAAAAAAAATTCAACGGAAATATTTTTTTTGAACATTTCGCAGTCGTAAGAAAGAGGATGAGGACTAAGCCGGATGTAATTTTCTTTTGCGCCTCCCCATTCGTAAATTTCTGATCTCCCAGTCCAACCAAAAGTATTCCGCCACTTTAGGTACATCGACTTGAAGTCCTCGGCTAGACTAAGGGAGATTGACACCCGGACATTGCGCAATGCTAACAGATCGCTGCAAAAGCACATTGCCATACATGTGTCTGCGCCACCATCTTCACGAGGTCTAGGGCCTTTTCCCTTAGACCTTGAAACCGCGAGAGCGTCTGCGACCACGGGCACGCTCGAACTTGCGACCCTTGCTGGCGACGTAGGGCTTCTGTAGAGTTGTAAAGAGAAAAGGTTAGCCAATCCATCCACATCCACATTGAAATCAAAATCGGAACCCAGATCCACCCGGGAAAAAATCCATTGTGCCAATCCAATTCCAATTCCGGGGATTTTGTTGTAGTCACGCACCTTGTGAGAGTGAGGGCCGAAACCGAAGTGCTTGACAGCCTCACGGGAGTTCTTGGGGCCACGGAGGAGCAGAGTGTTGGCACCGGTAGGGGCACGCAGAGCAAGCTGGTCCAGGGTGAGGGTCTCACCACCGGCCTTCTCGATACGGGCACGAGCAGTAGCGGTGAAGCGCAGGGCAGCAACGGACAGCTTGGGGACGTTCAGGAGACGGTTGTCGTCGGTGATGGTGCCGATGACAACGACGGTCTTGCCCTTCTGGGCCTCGGAGATATTGGCGGCAATGCGCGAGAGCGAGACGGGGGGACGGTTGATGCGCGACATGAAGAGGCGACGGAGAACAGCCTTGTTGAAGTTGGACTCGGTACGGCCTGTGTGTGATATCCCTGGTCAGTTTTTCGATTCCATCAAAATTTCGCCTCCTCTCGAGATTGAGGTTTGCAGGTTTCTTTTGCCGGGGCGTCTTGGTTTTTCAGGGGAGGGGATTTCATACGGGCAAGGAAGCGGTACAGCTTCACAAGCACCTGCAGGTAAACGTTGTCGCTCTTCGCAGCCTTGCGGTGGCTGTTGCGCACATGGTGACGGTCCAAGTCGATACCTGAGAATTTGCGAAGATTGATTAGCCAGGTTGAAATTGGATGGGAAATGAAGGAAAGGAAGGGAATAAGGCGATTCGAATGAGTCGATTAGAGCGTCATGAATCGTCTGTAGGGGTTGCACATACCCATGGCTGCTGTATGAATTGAACACCTGTTAGTTAACTTGCTGTCGCTCCCGTCTGGAAAGTGTAGGAGGTTTTTGGTCTTGCACTCTCGGCTGGCGGCTGTGTGCGGGTTGTGCCCTACGCTAGTCCTAACATGGAATGTGTCACATGACTAGGTTCCAAGTTTGGGTGGGCCGGGCTAGACTAGATTCAGATGGATTAGGTAACCTTAGCGCCACCCTAGTTTTGAGGTAACCCCTTGTAGTTAGGTGAGTTGGTGACTCTGGGGAATTAACTGCATGGCACCTCCATCGGGATACAGGTATTTAGTCATTGGGTGGCTTTGGTTTCCTCTTAATTGTTTTTGGTTTTCTTTGTTCACAGCTATATACAAGACAACACAATAATACAAAATGCAACAACATTAGTTGCAGCCCATCTATGCCAGACAATATTGACGGCAAAGCACTTCTAGGTGTATTGTAACTAATCATCTCTATCGCCCAGGCTGACCAGGAAATCCCGTGTCAATTCGAAACTGAGCCAGCTGCTCGCCATGCTGGGTGCCACCTTGAGGAGGTTGGGACCAATGCCTTTGAAAAGTCCACGCATTCCTTCCTCGGTCACGATGACACGCACCGCATCAAAGATCGATTTGTACTGATAGCCCATTCCGGACATGGTGTTGATTTGAAAGCGTCGACGTAGAACATCACTATTGTAAGAAGTCAGCATGAGAAGTTGACCCGGTGGAACCATAACCAAGAAATTCAAACTCACAAGGGATATGTGCACGTTTGGGCCACAGCCCCGGAAATAGCACCTGCTAAAAGTTTTCGCCATGGGCTAGGGTTCTTTTCACCGTCCGGAGTTAGGTATTCGCGGACAGCTTCATATGTCATGAAGTTCAGACCAACCTTGAAAATCACAGGTTAGCGACATGTGCGAAGCCAGACAAATCAGAATAGCAACCACTTCACTTACATAAGGAGCAACACCGGCAACAGTTGGGGCAATACCCCGATAAAGCGCCGTCATACCACCTTCATTCTTATAAATTGTGACCATGGTAGTCCACATGCCAGGCAATTTTCGAGACTGTTCTCGCGGTCCAAGATCGGCAAATGACGCTGACTGGATCGAAAGTCTTGTTCGAACGATGTCAAGAGGGTATGTCACGGTGACAGAGGTGATACCAGCAATACCACCACACACGAGGCGGCTGAAAGCAGACATGTCACCATTGGGAGACTCGGCGAACTTTTGATGACTTGTCAGTTTTGGATTCCGAGCAGAAGAGAAGAGGGTGGTACCGTACCCTCTTGTAGAAATTATAACTCCCAAATTGAACAGCTGAATACGGAATAATGCGAATGCAGTTCACGCCATTTCCACGCATGAATCCTCTCCAACCTTCTTCCCGTCCCATTTTCCCCAGAGCCTTCCAGATAGATAATTTGTATTCTTCCCGGCCAACGCTTTGGACCTGAAGTAAAATTTTCAAACGTTCTAATGGTGAAACGATTGTGCGAGATACGGCGCCAGCGACGCCACCTGCCATGAATGCAGCAACAACGGGCTCAGCAATTTTGTTTTGTGTTCGTCGCAGGATGGAGGGTGGCGCGGGGAGGGCATCCTAGCCGACAGTGAGTGATGAGCAGAGGGACGAGGAAGAGGGCAATGAAAGACGGCGAGACACTAACCTGGACTGAGGATGAGGATGAGGGAAGATGAATTGACTGTAGAGTTGGCTTGGATGTACCCTTTGATCCATCCTCTCGGGGTGCTTCCTGGGGATTGAGGCTCATTTTGGCGGTATCCACATCGAAGACTGTCAGATCGAAAGGCCAAAGTGTTCTTGAATCAGGCGAACCAATTATTTTCCCATGCGTTGTTTTTCACTTCTTCTAGTCGCAAATGAGGTAGGATGAATGCCGAATCGCCGATCAGATAGTATCACTAGACCGATATAGGAGTGAAAGCACCGGAAATCAAGATGACGTGGGTCGCGCTGGCCATGAAGATTGTTCGCTCTCTTCACGATAGGTCAAATCTTACAGGTCCATCATAGAGATCGGAGACCCAACGGTAGTTCTTGGTTTTGATTCTTGAATGTCGATTGTGAGAGTAGCTCGGAATGACGACCAGGGTAGGTGGAGAGGAGAGTCGGAAGAGGGGGCTGGATGAGCTGAGCGTATTGAATGTTGCTTTTTTCTGTGACCACGTTGGACGGAGAGATAGATCGATTCTCTCTCGCACAGACACAGTAACACCCTATTTTACTACTTGAGGTAGGTTCAAGTAGTTGCGAATGGAGGAAGATGGGGGGAAAAGACTGGGGTAGACCGAGAGAGGAGGAGATGAGACGGCAAGGGAGTGGAAACCTCCAACCAGCAAAGCAATCCCGACTGCCGTCCACGCGGTACCTCCCGAGCCCAGCCCGCATTATACACTGTACGCGTGCCTGGTTCTATAGTTAGTTACTACTCTGTACTTCCCCTTCTTTTCACCTGATTTTGTAGCAAGACTAGGTATTTGAGTATTTTCCATATTTATCTGCTTTCTAATAATTACTTCTCTCATACATTCCTCTCCCTCTCCCTCTCTCTACAATACACAATTCATCACTGTCGTCAGTGGTGTCTCCCCCCAACCGTACTCATACTGCCCACTGCCACCGCCTTACCGCCTACCTTCCATCGTCCACTGCATCATTTTCCATTTCTTTCTTTCACCCCTTCGTGTAATACCACGTCCCTCCCTTCTACGACATCGCCGATTCTTCATTATCCGTCATGTCTTCTCGATCGGGAACCACCCTATATGTCACCGGCTTTGGCCACGGTACCCGAGCTCGCGATCTTGCCTACGAATTCGAACGGTACGTCACGGCCACACCTCCGCGTTTTTAAGCCCACGGCTTCTCGGTCGCTTCTCCCTTCCGCCTTATCCTCCTCCCCCATTCCACACCCCCCAAAACGTCCAATGTCATTCTCCCGTGCATGATCGAATCGGCTATCCTTCCGGAATGAGACCCTCGAGCTTCTCAATCCCCCAATTCTCCCATTGGATGTTGAATTTTGGTCGTTTTTCATCTGTCTCTATAACCTTTTATCTCAAGCCTTTTTATATGACCTTGAGAAGCTAATGTCTTTTCAGATACGGTCGTCTTGTCCGCTGTGACATCCCCGCCCCCCGCACACCTTCCAGCCGACTGTAAGTCCGAGCTCATCAAGCTTAAATTTTTCACTATCTTAACAACCATCCAGGTTCGCCTTTGTCGAGTACGAGAGCCGTCGTGATGCGGATGATGCGTACCACGAGATGCACAACAAGCGTATTGGACGCGACGACCTCCTGAAAATTGAGGTATATTCTTGCCCTTTCTTCCTACCCCACCTGTAATGCATCTAATCTGACCTCAATTCCTCCCATAGTGGGCACGCACACCCCTTTCGGCCTCTTGGAGATTCGATTCCGGCCCTGGCCGGGATGGCCGTGATGGTGGCCGTGAACGCACAGGCCGTCGTGAGCGCACTCCTCCCCGCCGCGGTCGCTCTCCATCTCCCCGTCGCAGCAGAGGAGATTATTCTCCCCGCCGAGACGATCGATATGAGCGTGACGCCGATCGTCCCGCCGCTGATCGGGATTATGAGCGCCGTGACCGTGACCGCGACTATGAGCGCCGTGATCGCGATGGTGATCGTCGGGACCGTGACCGCTCTCGTGATCGTTCCCGCAGCCCCGAAGACCGCGAGCGCGATACCAAAGAGGATCGGGAACGTCGCGAGGATGACCGGGAGCGCCGCGATGATGACCGGGAGCGCCGCGATGATGATCGGGAGCGTCGTGAGGATGAGCGTGAGCCTGTTACCAATGGCGAAGACAGGAAAGGTACGTAACTCCAAATATAGAAAAAGCAATCCCCACCTAGCGCTTAACTAACCTTCAACAGTACCCCTGGACCCCGTTCCTGCTGCTCATGACGAGCTTGATACTGCTGAGTAGATCGATTGACTCTGCGCCGTGCCATCCCATTTCGAGCCACTTCGCCCATAGGGATTCAAAATCGATTACTGCCTTTCCCCGGATCATCACAAGGGTTTTGGAAATCGTTTGACCACTACTGCCGCCGAATGTCCTCCGATTTCAAGCGTCATATTGCATGGCTTCTTTGCGCCAGGTTGACTTGATTCCCTAATTTCCCTGTCAATCATCTCATCCGGCTCCGGTATCCCGTGCTGGTCTTGGTGTTGACTCCCCTGTTTCTTTTATTTCCTTTCGTTTCCGCTTCCGTTCTTGCTCTCTGTTCTTTTAACCTTTTTTTTACTTTTTTTGGAGATCTCTTTTATGGGTGTCGGTATTTATCCTGGTCAGCAGCCCCGAAACGAACGTCGAGCGATCAGATCGTGTTCCAAGTGTCCCATCCTCGCCCTTCTCTCGTCCTTGCGTTTTCCTCGATGAATACCAATCAATACCAAACCCAAACCGTCCGCCATTCCCGTCTTATTCGCAAATTTAATCCAAGCGATTCCGTTCCCATTCTCCAAGCCAAGTCCCCTCGCCCCGTACGATCGATCGGAACCCCCCTCGACGACTGCTCCCGATCGATATCGCTTTTTACAATGTAGACTCGTATGCATGCAGGCAAGGTATTCGTAGGGAAGGTGGATAGCAAAATTATATCAATACTAATTCATCAATACCCACAGTGGTAACTTTTTAAAGATCGAAATGTAGTTAGTTTTTCGCCCCCAATGAGTGCTCAGGTTCTCCAATGACGTAGAAATCCTTCATGCGGGGGAAACGGCCTTGTCCTTCTGCTGTAGGGACTAACAAACCCTAATACGGAGTAATATATTACCTAACCCTCATTCAATCTACAAGCTAGTATGGAGGCACTGCTTATCCGCTATGTACAAGCGTGTTGGCTGGGAACATGATGATCAGGAATATATACTGAATCATGTTCAACAGGTTCCTATTCATGCCTTCACACTCTTTAGGTTCAGCAATATCGCAATACTTTAAATATTGTACATGGAGGCATGAAATTCAATGATATGTGTTAAGCGCTGTAGAAGCGAGGAGGTGAGAAGGGAAGTTATGTAAACATATCTACCAACAATCAGGATTATTCAGGCTGTGACTACTGTGTTTACACTACAGCGAAGCTTCTATGGCTAGTCATAGCACTAGAAGGGGCATTGTGGGCTAGGAAATAAAACTAGGCAGAGGCTGTGCATTGAAGATAAACACATCGTATTATTAATCTGGCAGCCCTATGTATATGGTTCAGGCAAAGGCAAAACTCCACGATCGAGGAGAAGGCTCGTTATATCGACGTACCCCTTTTATGAAGCCCATTCAAGTGCTGTCCATCCATGTTCATCGCTTGCATTGACATATGCCCCCCCATTCGATAAGAAACTTCGCAAGAGCCTCATAGCTACCCGCGAAGGCCTCTGAAAGCGGTGTCCGGCCGTTTGAATCAGTAGCGTTGACATCAGCTCCTCCTTCAATAAGAAGCCGAGCGATAGCCTCGTGACCATTCTTCAATGTCAAAAAAAGTGGTGTCCCGCCATTTAGATCAGCGGCATTGACATCTGCTCCTTCTTGGATAAGAAGCCTAGCAATAGCCTCATGGCCCTTCCTCGAAGCGAATGAAAGTGATGTCTCACCACTCAAAGTAGTGGCATTTATAGTTGCTCCTTGTTCGATGAGAAGCTTAGCGATAGCCTCGTTACCCTCCCTCGAAGCGAGTGAGAGTGGCGTATGTCGATGTCTATCAGTAGCATGGATATCTGCTCCTTGTTCGATAAGAAGCCTAGCGATAGCCTCGCGACGATTCTCCAATGCGAGAAAAAGTGGTCTCGAACCATCAATGCCATTAATATCTGCTCCATGTTCGATAAGAAGCCTAGAAAAAGCCTCATAGCCCTCCCTCGAAGCGAATGAAAGTGATGTCTCACCTCTCAGACTAATGGCATTTAAAGTTGCTCCTTGTTCGATGAGAATCCTAGCGATAGCCACATAGCCAAAGATTGAAGTGAGTAGAAGTGGTGTCCATCCATTACTACTGACAGTGTTAACATCTGCTCCTTGTTCGACAAGAAGCTTAGCGATAGCCTCGTTACCCTCCCTCGAAGCGTATAAAAGTGGTGTCCATCCAGTTCTATCGACAGTGTTGACGTCTGCTCCTCGCTCGATCAAAAGCTTAAGAAGGACTGCTCGCCCATTCTCTGCAGCCCAAGAAAGAGGTGTTCGCTTTTCGTACCGCTTCAAGTCTTTTCTGTGGTTCAGGCCCTCTGTGATGTCGATTCCGTCATAAATGGTTGAAGGCAAGTTCAAAAGAGCTGCAACACTCGCTTTGTCACTACATGCCAAAGCAGAAAATAGCGGGTACTCGTATCTTTCGCCAAAAATATGGATTTCTGGAAATTTTTGAAGTCTTGTGCGGATAAGGTCAGGATATCCTTTGTCTGCGAGAATATATAGGAGACTTGCATGTGGAGTATATAACCGAATCTGTGACTTTTCAAAAAGGTTGTTGATCCCGACCCAGTTGATTACATGGAACGAGGAAAGAAAATCGTCTTGAGAAACCACTTTTGCTGCAGCGTTGGCATGGTAGAGGGTATTCCGACTAGAGTACCCTAGAAATGGGTAGTGGTTTGAGGCTTCCGTGACATCTTTTGTCCTATATGGCTCAGGATAAGCCGGTCGTTTACCAGCAAGCTCGCACACATCCTTGTGGTTTATGTAGAAATTGCAGCAATCCTTGAGCCTATCATGGCTTGGACTCTCCCAGTCAAGCCCAAGTTGGGGCCACAATTCATAAAGACCTCTGTCTTTAATAAGGAAGTCTCGAACAGACTCATGGATGAATTGGACTGATGGTTTGCCGGATATTGTAACCTCAGCTAACCCCTTAGAGCAACTGATAACATATCTGTGAGACCTGGGAAGACCATTGCTAGTATCTTGGACTAAGGCATCTGGTATCTTGGTATCAACCAGACTCGGACTCTTCAATGATAAGCCAGACCAAAGAGCATGATAGAATTCCTCTGGCCGTAAAGGTCGCTTTGCGCAAAGAATCCAGAAAAAACAGAGCAAGAGTCCCTCCATATTCTCATCATCACGTTTCAGTATTTCCTTGAATAGATTGCTTAGCCCACTTGGTAGGTCTTCAAGCTTCCGGTCGAGGGACATTGCACCTCTTGCAAGCTCCCTATTGAGAATTTCGACGACCAAAACCACCCACATAAAAACACCAGCAGATTTTTGGAGAAGCTTTTGGACAATATCGGAGTCTTCAGTTCGAAGATTATCCCCAACGTAAGCTTGCAAGTCTTCTGTGTGGCCTGGTTGATGCTCTAGTGTAAGTCGGGCACCATGCCGTATCATAATATAGGGATAATGCCGACTGGAAAAGCAGATCCGGAGACGTTTGGCCGTGGACTGTTCTGACAGATATTCAAAATATTGGATCATATCCAGAAGTTGTTGCTCGTCACATTCATCAAGTGCATCAATAAAGCATGTAAATGACCGTTGACCCAGGAGGGAAACTGCTTTATGAAGGAGGCCTTTGAGGATATTCAAAGAAGGGCAAGCATTTTGGTCCTGGGCGGGAATGAGCTCAGGATCATCTAGCAGTGTCTGTAGGTCGGGAAATCCTTCAAGTAGCTGAAGCAGCAATGATCGATACATTCCTATCACAGATCTCTCTAGTATTTCACCACGGGCATTGAAAAAAAAATGATGCAGTGACGGCAGTTTTGGAGCGAGCCTGTTTCTTCATTTTCGAGTAGACAAATTTCATGATCGTCGACTTGCCAGCCCCAGGCTTGCCGCTAATCCATAAAAAGCCACGATGGGTCAGATTTTCTGGGTCTAGCCATGCCTTATAGTCAGGATGATTGAGAAACCATTGACATGTTTTGGCGTGGGCATCTTCAACAGTTGATTTTCGAGCATTGATTTGCTCAAACCTGAAAGAATCCAGTAAAAGCTTCCGGTTTTTCTGTGATGGGGTCGGGTCTATAATGCGAGTGTGACTCAGTCAGCGTCATTTCCAGCACAAAATCGTTTCCAACACAGAGAAACTTACTTGGGGTAGGTATGGATGCATCCTCTTTATATGTCTCGGTGACCGGAAGACCCTCAAGCAATTCCCTTGCGTATGCGGCTGCAGTGGCTGCAGCATATCTCTGCCATTCTTTGCTCTTGTGTGAATCAGAATAGTCGCAAATACCCCGAATTGGGAGACAGGGGATGATATCCATCAAACCAGCAGCCTCCATTTCGAAGCATATAACATTAAACTGCCGAGCAGCTTCGTCTCGAAAGACACTATTCTTAATGACCTGGCTCCCTGAAGCGATGGCACCATAATGAATAAATGGATCTGTCGACACCCGCGCACTTCGCAGCACCAGCTTTGAGTCGTCGCATTTATCACAGTTGGCCTCCGGAACTTTATGATGATAATTTGCCTGGAAGAGACGATCTGGCGAGCTTGGGCAACCATACCCATATTCTTCAAGCTTCTGCTGGAGAATAGAGGGAATTCGACTCGGTTCGAGCTCGTGTTTAGCGCGGAGAGTCGTGACGGCTGTCCCAAGCAATTGATGGGGAATTCTGGGGATCGCTGTTCGTTCCAACTCTTGGTCTCCATGAATTATTTTTCCTAAATCGACCTGCATCACCCTGGTCCCAACCACAATATCGCCGAGTCGTACATCAACCTTACTCGGCACACCACCGCCAATACCAACCATCAAACCAACCCGGATTGCGGGAAATGTCCGCTTTATGTTCGTCGCCACGTTCGCTGCGTTGACAATTCCATACTGGTCTGTTGGTAGGCACGCAATGACAACATTATGTCTCTGGATGTCCCCTAAAACGTATGTGTTGCTGTCGTCTGTAAGGGCAGGTAGAGATTCGTGAATATTGTCTAGTACGGCCCGGGCCGCTGCCATCTCGATTGATAGCGCACATATCCATGCAACAGTGTAAATATCGCGCCGTGCGGCTGGCACGCCACCGCGGTAATGGAGCTTCTGTCGCTTTGGCAAGTGAGATGGGCCTGCCTCATCATGCCCACCTCGCGGATGGCTGTCCATCTAGCAAAGACTCGGAGAAGAACTCGCAGGAGAAGAACTTGCCAGTTGGAGGTGAAGTCCTCCAGTGACCCATGAATATCGCAAGTATCACCGACCGAATCAAATTTACGCTGGGTAGAAAGAAGGAAGAGAGTTGAACACGCAAATTGGGCCGCGTGGGGAGAGCTCAGCTACAGCGCCCCAGAGCGACTCAGCCTCAAGCGCCGGACCAGGCTTTTTACCGTTTCTGCTCTACACCTTTTGGCCCCCATATCTTTACTGCGACTCGTCTTTTACACTAGCTATATAAGTCCTTAGTGTATGGTATTGCAACGTATATAAAAAAGTAAAATCATGTCAGATAGCCTGCGCGACTACTGGTTTGGTTTTGCTATATCTTACCACTAAAATAGAAATGTGGCAGTGAGTCGCAGATTCCTGTGGCCCAGGGGGTATTTTTGTAAAATAAACTAGCATGTTATTAGTTAGCTCTTGATGACTGGTGATTCCCCTCACACCGCTCTGTGGTTATAGTGAGGGGATTGAGGGGAACCGGGGTATGTGACGTAGCCCATGGTATATCACGTCCGATTCACTCTAGACCTCTGTAAACCCCCAACAAATTCAGCATGCAGTCTTCCAACGAGAAAGGTATTTCTATCGCAATTGATGTAAGATACATCCACTCCCAAAGTCCATAGAATCAACATTGACATGATTTAGAGAGGCGGTACATTCACAGACTGCGTAGGAAATCCCGGAACAGGCCGACTTGAAGACGACATCGTGATAAAGCTTCTCTCCGAAGATCCGGCAAACTACAAAGATGCACCCCTTGAAGGAATTCGACGGATCATGTCCATGGTTACGGGGCGTGAAATTCCTCGAGGAGAAGCCATTGACACTTCTCTGATCAAGTCTATTCGGATGGGCACAACGGTAGCAACGAATGCCTTACTCGAACGCAAAGGGGAAAAGATCGCACTCGTTGTGACCCAGGGATTTAAAGATTGTCTTCAAATTGGGAATCAGTCGCGGCCGAAAATTTTTGATCTTGCTATAAAACGTCCTGAGGTGCTTTATGAAGAGGTGATTGAGATTGAGGAGCGGGCTACTTTGGAAGATTATGCTGAAGATCCGGAACGGCATGTCACGGATACAGATCCCCGGGGAAGAGCTCAGATGATGCAGAGATCGTGCGTGGTCTTTCTTCCGAAGCAGTCCGTATTCTCAAACGCCCGTCTGAGAATGAGATCAGAACGCAACTTCAACAAGTCTATGATCGAGGAATTCGAAGTATAGCAGTATGTCTTATGCATGGCTACACATTTCCCGATCACGAAGCATTGGTCGGACGAATCGCTACAGAAATCGGCTTTGAACATGTCAGCCTGAGCCATGAGTTGATGCCCATGATCAAATTAGTGCCGCGAGCCACGTCCGCCTGCGCCGATGCCTATCTAACGCCGACGATAAAGAAGTACATTTCCGGCTTTCAGGCTGGGTTCTCCGGTGGTCTTGGAAGTGAGAGTGTGAAGCGCGAGGATAGTTCGCACAGTGCTCGGTGCGAGTTCATGCAATCGGATGGTGGATTAGTTGACGTGGACCAATTCTCTGGACTACGGGCAATACTGTCAGGTCCAGCGGGTGGGGTCGTGGGGTACGCATTGACATCCTACGATCCTGTATCAAAAATTCCTGTCATTGGGTTTGATATGGGTGGAACCAGTACGGATGTTAGTAGGTACGGCTCTGGTCGGTATGAGCATGTGTTTGAGACCACGACGGCCGGAGTGACTATACAATCTCCACAGCTGGATATCAATACCGTCGCAGCTGGTGGTGGCTCCAGACTATTCTATCGCAATGAGTTATTTGTCGTCGGTCCTGAATCTGCAGGGGCCCATCCGGGGCCTGCTTGTTATCGCAAAGGTGGACCTTTGACGGTGACGGATGCGAATCTGTTTCTGGGTAGACTCATTCCAGACTTTTTTCCGAGGATATTTGGACCGGACGAGAATCAGGGCCTGGATGAGGAAGCAAGTCGGGATTTATTTGAGAAACTCACGGTCGAAATTAATGAGAAAATTGCGTCGAGTGGCCAGAGCAACAAAATGTCCCCTGATGAAGTTGCATTTGGATTCATCAAAATTGCCAACGAGACTATGACTCGACCCATTCGATCCTTGACTGAGGCGAAAGGACACGATACCTCAAAGCATCGCTTGGCCACCTTTGGAGGTGCTGGAGGCCAACATGCCGTAGCCATCGCAGAGAATCTCGGCATTCGGCAAATCCTGATTCATCGGTACTCGTCCGTCCTGTCAGCATACGGAATGGCGCTGGCGGATGTCGTTGATGAAAGCCAAGAGCCAGAATCAAAGACATGGCGTGATGACGACAGAACAGTTCTGCAAGAGCTTGCGAAGAAGATGACCGAGCTGAAGCAGCGATCTGCGACAAGACTCAAAGAGCAAGGCTTTGAAGATGAATCCGTGGTATTTGAAGAATATCTCAACATGCGATATCGAGGTACAGAATCTGCGTTGATGATCTTACGGCCCAGCAAAGAAGACGCAGATCAACATTTTGGCGGCGACGACTGGGCCTTCGGAGAAGTATTTGTGCAGCAGCACGAACAAGAGTTCGGCTTCACCCTTCCAGACCGTGATATAATCGTCGATGATGTCCGAGTACGCGGGATCGGGAAGACATTTGAAGCATCCGAGAAGACAGTTGACCAGCAGCTCCGAGAATCAAAGCCAGTCGACGTCGTGGGCCGTGAGTATCGAAAGTCCCAAGTATATTTCGAAGGCGGTCGATACGAGACACCAATCTACAAACTGGACGATCTCCAAATAAACGACCGGGTGAAAGGGCCAGCCATCTTAGCAGACGACACCCAAACGATCGTCGTGACGCCAGGATCCTACGCACTACTAACCAAAACCCACGTCGTCATCAATATCGGAGAATCCGATTCCAATCCGCCCCCAATCAGCACCGATGCCGTGGACCCTATCTTGTTAAGCGTCTTCTCGCATCGATTCATGGCAATTGCGGAGCAGATGGGTCGCGCTTTGCAGAAAACAAGTGTTAGCACGAATGTTAAAGAACGACTTGACTATTCGTGCGCATTATTTGATCCTGATGGTGGCCTTGTTGCCAATGCACCTCACTTGCCGGTTCATCTGGGCAGCATGTCAACATGTGTACGAATGCAAGCCGAGCTTTGGAAAGGAAATTTGAAACCTGGGGATGTATTGGTTTCTAACTCGCCGTGTCGGGGTGGGACACATCTTCCTGATATCACGGTGATTCAACCGGCCTTTAGCGAGGGGAAAATAATCTTCTATGTGGCTTCAAGAGCACACCATGGTCAGTAACCCTTTCCACTTATTCTCCGTGTCTCGTCATTTACAGAACTTTTCTTTTTCATATCTAACTCTGCTCCAGCTGACATCGGAGGTATCCTCCCTGGCTCAATGCCACCCCATTCAAAAGAACTCTACCAAGAAGGAGCGCGTATAAAAAGCGAGAAGCTAGTATCAGAAGGCAAATTCAACGAAAAGCGCATCACGGAACTCCTCTACGACGAACCTGCTCAATATCCCGATTGCAGTGGAACCCGGTGTCTCGCAGATAACCTGAATGATCTCAAAGCCCAAATTGCAGCCAACAAGAAAGGAATCACATTGATAAATACTCTGATTGAAGAATACGGCGAGAACGTGGTCTTGTTCTACATGAATCAGATCCAAGCCAATGCCGAGCTCAGTGTGCGGAATCTCCTGAAGGAAGTTAGTCAAAAGTTTTCGGGCAGGGACCTCAGTGCTATTGACTATATGGATGATGGTACTCCCATTCAACTAAAGATCTCCATCGATGCAGAGAAAGGCGAAGCCATGTTTGATTTTGAAGGGACCGGTCCGGAGGTATACGGTATGGATTCCACTCCTCGGCACTTACACATAAAGGCCAAATTACTGACAGTAATATAGGCAACGTCAATGCCCCAGAGGCTGTCACATACTCCGCAATCATATACTGTCTACGATGTCTAATCTCAGAAGATATCCCCCTCAACCAAGGATGTCTGAAACCAATCGGTGTTCGAATTCCGCCAAATAGTCTCTCTCTCCCATCCGAGACCGCAGCAGTCGTAGGAGGCAACGTATTGACAGTGAGTCCAGCCCAGTTAACAAACCGCATACTCGCAATTCACATCCACTAACCAACCCCACCCAGAGCCAACGAGTAACAGACGTAATCTTAAAATGTTTCCAAGCATGCGCCGCCTCCCAAGGCGACACAAACAACCTAACATTCGGCTTCGGCGGCAACCGCTCCGGCGAGGCCGAAAAGAAGGGCTTCGGCTACTACGAAACCATCGCCGGGGGCAGCGGCGCAGGACCAGACTGGGAGGGAACATCCGGAGTACACACGCATATGACAAACACTCGAATCACAGATGCGGAAGTATTCGAACGTCGGTATCCCGTTTTACTTCGAGAATTCAGTCTGCGGCCGAATTCTGGAGGTAGGGGCCAGCATCGGGGTGGAGATGGGGTTATTCGGGATATCGAGTTTCGTATTCCAGTTCAGGTTTCTATTCTCTCTGAGAGACGGGTTTATCATCCGTATGGACTTGAGGGGGGTGAGGATGCGCAGTGTGGGCAGAATCTTTGGATTCGGAGGGTTGAGAAGTCTGATGGGAGTTGGGGGGAGAGGTGTATTAGTTTGGGAGGGAAGAATTCGAGTATGATGCAGCCCGGTGAACGGATTATTATTCGGACTCCTGGTGGTGGTGGATGGGGACCGGTTGGGGAGGGAGCTCAATTGGTGAATGAACCCGATGCTCGTCATGGGTGGACGGGAGGGTCGGTTGCGAACTATACGACGGCACATGAGGCGAGTATGTAGAGGAGCAGTCAAGATACTCATTTCTACAATGAAGTACTATCTAATTCAAGGGTAAAACGCAGAATTAAAAACATTGTCATTTGCACAGTGGTATCATAGGAGAAAATTGAGCGAAGAATGGCGATCCCAGCCAGCCACAGAGATATCTAGATGGTATTGCCCACCACATCACGCCTCACTTTCCTCGTCACTCGTAGCCTCGATATTCTGCTTCGAGGGACTTGCTACTTTTCCATCCATTTCTTCATCACTTCCTCCATCAGCCTGGCCCTGGGCCGTATTACTGAAATATTCCGGTCGAGGTAGTGATTCACCCTGTTGTTCGAGGGCTTGTTCGATATCAGGGAGAAGTTTAACGAGCGCGGCGAATTGTTCCACCGGCAAAGAAATTCCCTATAGCGTAATAAAATCAGCATGCATTTATCTATGGCTATTTCCGTCGCGATGCGATGCGATGCGTTATCCAACTCACCTTCTTCCCAGGAAGTTCCTGACCATCCTTCTCATAATATTCCCGCACATTGACCATAGTTCGACCACGGAACTTGGAAACAGTCACTCGGCGCATTTTGGAGACTTCCCAGTATTGATCACCGTTGGAATCGGTCTTGCTTGGCGCGCCTTTGTAGCTCACCCGGCTCTTCTTAGCTTGGGTGTCTTCAGCATCCTGCTGGTCTGAGGAGCGTTTGCGGGATGTCATGGTGATTGGGAAGTATTTGAGTTGTGGAAATCTTATTGCTCGATATCGCAAGAAGCTAGCACAACAGTGTGTTTATGCGAAGGTGTTGTGAGGCTGAAGGCTTGAAGGTCAAGGTCGAGAGGAACGCGCTGTAACGCGTCACGTCACGTGGTGATAGTGCTATCGCTCTTTGCGATGACATCATATCGTCAAGCTCCCATCCCATCAGACTAGAGAGTCAACACGCGCAATCCCTGGAGCATAACAGAGAAAACAAATCCCCGAGCAACAGTCTCCACCTGGAGACTATCGAAGATTTTCTCAAGAGCCTCTCGACTAGCGGCTGCACCCATAACACTCGTGAGGGCTTGGGGAATTCCTCTCTGCACGAATAAGCGTCTTGCCTTGTCTCGTAGTTGAGTCTTCTCCTCCTCGGTCGGGGGTGCAGGCCAGGCAGCCAGTTCTTCCTCGGTTGGGAGTGCATTCTCGCGCAGCTTTTTGATATACTCGCCGAGGGCATCGTCCGAGGTGTGGCTTTCGATCATCGAGTCCTGTAGTAAGTCTCGAATTGTGTCGAGTGTAGGACTTCCGGGACGCAGGATATAGGTTTTTGCTGCGTTCAACAGCGTGCGTCGGATATTCCAGGCTGATGATAAGGTGTAGAGCTCGTTTATCACGGCGAAGATTAGTTCCACTGCGATTTGGGTTTCGTCTGCTGTGATGGGCGCCCGTGATCGTGATTGCTGGGGGGGGATCGTGGATGTTTTGCGAGCTTTCACCTTCGGCACCACTGCCTGTGCCACTCTCCAATGAAAGCTTCGGTGACTGCGGCGTACGGGTCTCTCCGTCCGTCTCTGCTTCTGAAATTGCCACGCGATCTGTTGATGCGGAGGAATTGACATCCTCTGAAGATGCGAGCGTCGACTCCGAGGCCCATGCGTTTTGCTCAATCTTCGTTGGGTTGGCGTTACTATCAACATCACTCGGTGCTGGCGATTGAGGCTTCTCTTCCTTCCATGCATCCAAAGATAGGCTAGTAGAGGAGGACGAAACGCGCGGTCTGTCCTCCTCGCTTGACCTTACCGGAGTAGAGCGAGCGTCGATATTTAAGCCCACGGGCGAAGAATTGGCTCGGCCCAGATCACTGACAGAGCCCGAACCCTCCTTAGGGGTAAGAGTAAGATCTCGTTCTGTCTTGGACGGGCTCTTTTGATGCGTGGATTGTCGATCAGCAGAGATTGTCGGTTTGCGATTATGACCACCCCCAAAAACGCCCGTAACTCCATCAAACATCGCACGGCCACCTCCAGCAACACCCTTAGGAGCATTCGTCAAAGCACCCAGCATCCCTTTACCCATATTTTCAAAGGCACTCTGGCTAGGGAACGAGAACCCGGACTTGGGAGTACTCTTCTCGCCGGGATTCGCTTCTTTCTCCAGGAAGCGTCGCATGCGATCAGTATCAGCAAGAGACTCATGTCTCACGGCTTCTTGAATATATCGCTCCAAATCATGAGCAAGCTCTTGTCTTGTCTTTCCTTTCCACGGAGGCAGTGCAGGGAACCTGCTGGAAAAACTTTGGATATTATTCAAGCGTGAAACTGTCTCCAGCATTTCATGGAGAGACTGGAAGTCGGCATATTTTCGAAATACCATCCAGCCACTGGAGCGGGTAGACGTCGGCTCGACCTGTAACAGGTAATCCCATGTAGGCCGTGACTTGATCGGGCCCCTTTCGGTTGCTGCTGAGTCGTCATCCACTAGGACTTGGGCACCGTGCAGACTCATGGGAGCCGGGGAGTCTTCTCCGGATTGGCGTGGAGCAGCTACAGCGGGGGCAGGGGCGGGCTGCTCGGATGATCCGGTCGGGGCGTGATCTGCAATGGCTGTGGAGGTTTGCTCATGGGAATTGGCGGTGGTACTCGGTGGTTCGATGTCAGCTTCAGCCGAAATACTCGTTCGCTCGGGTCGATCCGAATGTATTGATTGATCGGAAGGTACGCTTTGCTCATCATGAGAAGCAATCAAGGCACTCAATCGCTTCGCCTCCAGCAATGCCTCCTCCGTTGCTGTGTCCGTTGATTCCGACTTACGCTCCGCGGTCTTCTCTTGCTTCGGCTCGGCGGGAGTCTTTATGGTCTCCGGGGTCTGGGTCTTAGATGCGCCGGCACCAACACCTTGATTGCGAGCCCCCCTCAACGCCCGCATCAATAGCATGCATAAGTTCAGATTCACCATCCTGAAGCAGATAGATAATCCAATCATTGATGAACTCAGGCCTAGAAAGGCTAGCGACTGTAGACTCGAGCACGACACCTGCAAAAATTTCCCTTAGGAAGTCTCGGACTGGCGAGCAGCGATATGAGTTCGCATCAAGATAATTCGACAAGATGTCATCCGCAATCATGCTCAGCTTCTTGCGCTGTTGCTCCTCGGATAGAACATTTGCGAGGCTGCTGTCGGGGGAGTTCTCTAGATACTGGTCCACGATTTGCTTGGCTTCATGAGGTGAAGACCCTGTAGCCGTGAATGCGGCAGCAAGTTCATTAAAAAACACAATAATTATAGACGAGGAGTTCGTGAGAAATTGTAGGAATGTGTCTTCCGTTCTCTTATGGGAGAGGTGAGATGAAACGGCTGTGACGAAATAGGTCAAGGTCCTTCGGCAGGAGGTGGGGAAGATAATATCGTTCGGTAGAATCGGTTTATACCAGTACCTTGAATTATAATGTTAGCCAATGCTAGTTCGAGAAGGGTGCGATCTATTCTCACTTGACATAGTCCTTGATGACTGTATCGGTGAGCAATCTCAAAGCAGCAGCGGTAGCTGGTCGAAAGGTCAAATACTCTAGATCCTCATCCGAAAGATTCTCCGGGGAGGTCGCCAGGGCACCACTGTCGGGTTTAGAGTCGGCAGTGGCGGTGGCAGTGGCAGATGCTAAGCGCTGAGGCCAGTCCAAGAGTCTATGAGAAACCTCCAATGCAAGCTCCTTTCGTTTTCTGGAAGACGTTTCCCCGTTTCCTCCTCTATGGGAAGTCCCTTCCCATGACGCGTGCAGGACAACACCTAAGCTGACACCGATAAGCAGCAAGCCAACCCGTCCGAGTATAATGTAGGTGCTGAGCATTAAGAGCGCAAATACGCCTAGGAGGGTTTCATTGCTCGATGTTGAAAGGAAATCAAGGACACGGTCCATGAGTTCCTTTGTGGATTTTGTGTTGGGGACATCTTGTTTGGTCGCATTATCCTGCGTTGCGATAGGAGTTGGGTCCGGGGGGTTCGCGGAGGGAGCGGCGATCGCATCATTGTCGGGTTGGTCCATAGTTAGTCTATAGACATTAGCGAGGGACATTACCCATAATTGGCAAGGAAGAAGGAACAAACCTCCATGCCCCTTTAGTAGAGGTGGGCAAGTTCGGGGAGAGATAGAAAGAGAGGGGATGTTGAATGGGAGGAGGTTCCCAGGTCAAGTTGGCTTCCCCGTGTTCAAGTTGGCCAGTTGGCCAGTGCGCCACGAACAAGCAATGCAATCAACAGGATCGGCGGGCCGAGGCACCTCGTGAGGTATGTATGATATACTTTTACTCTGTAAATTCTAAGAATTGCACGAATATTCGATCAATCTTGTCATATTCATAATATCTATTGACTAAAACTTCAGAGATATGTATGTATCCGTTCATCATTGCCCATGCGGCCGTGGGAAAGCGACCGCGAGGCATCTAAAGCTAAACAGAATGGAAATTCCTCTCCGCTTGTAGAGTGAATCTGGGCACTCAAAGAAAATGCACTTCATGCCAGATGATAAGATAGCGGTATAAGTCTACGGGGATGAGATGCAAAGATGCAAAAAAAGAAAAGAAAAAGAAAAAGATGCAAAGACCTTTGCCCTGGCAAGATCAGATCAGATCAGATCAAGACCGTGCCCTCACATACTTAGTATGCGACCCCCTGGCAACAAGCACAAGACCCTGATCGGTCTTCTTAGAGATCTCAACCGTAGTAAAAGCAAGGCTTTTGCCCACCTTATTAGCGCGACCTTCAATCTCAAGCCAATCACCCGTCGTCGCGCCGGAGAGATAAGTGACATGGATATCAGTGCTTACGCCCGTAGCATCCAACCCCGTTGAGGCGATAGACAGGCCACCTGCCCAGTCGGTCACAGTGGCCGAGAAGGCGCCGTGCAGACTGCCTTTGGAATTGAGTTGACGAGGACCGACTTGGAGTCGGGCCCTCATTACGCCGTGTTCTGCATCATAAACTTCGGCCTCGCTGAGGAGAAACTCGTAGATTGGGCTGTTGGTGCGGGTGCGATCCCATACTTTGAGAACTTGTTGGAGCTCTGCGCTCATGGTGGGCGAGATTGAGGTGCTTGAAGGGGAGGGAAGAAGAAGGAGTGAAGAAGAGAAAAGGCGCGGGAGGGAGGAAAAGAAGGGGAGGAAGAGTCTGCGGGTGGATTCTGTGCTAACCGAGACTAGGGGCTAGTCCCGATCGGGGACCATCCCATCATAAATAAGGAGGGAGGTGTGAAGAGCTCAGGTACGATGAAGATCGAGATACGATGACACGGTGGCAAGCAACATGATGTAGCATTTGACGAAAATAATAAGCATGGGGAGGGGGAGGAGGAGGAAGCTTAGCTACTCGCGATACAGAAATGCCTGCCCTAAGCACCCTAGCATCAAACACGTGATCTGTCACAGGACGGAATACTTTCCCATCAATTAATTAACGACCTACGTACCAAGACAATTAAATGAGTCTGCTTGGATGCATGTATTCTATTATAGGAAAATGGCCACTATGACACTAGTGACAAAGTTTACGTGATTTGACGGGCAAAACCACCTCTCGCACCAATAGGCTTATGCTTCTAAGTTCTATATGTACTAGTCTCTAGACCAAAGCCAGTCGCTGGCATTCTGAGCCTCCTGCGCATAGCTAAGATGCTCCAATCCAATCAGTCCACCACCGTGGCAGATATTGTCTGCCTCATAGCAATATAGCTTGAGCTTGTCCTGTGGAAACCCGGCAATCTGTCCATGGAATTGTTTCTGGCGGGTAAATCCGAACAAAACCACACCCCGAATCTTATCCTTGACCTCTTTCGAAAGCTTGAGAATGGCGCCATGCATAAGATTAGCGCCTTGGCTAAATTACTCAGGCTGTTAGCTAGCTATACTGGTATATTTATATTTACCAAGTTGAAAATAGTAATGGGCAATAACATACCTATAACCACCAGCAAAAATCTTAGATTTGGGGCATTTCTGCGTAGCCAGCTCAAACAAGCTCACTGCTTCATTGATTCCTACATCCGTCGTATCCTCGGGCTCCTTGAGATTATCCAAACCCGCATCATAGGCTGGACCAACACCCTGACATGAAACTTGACCGGGGTGCTCTACCTTCAGGACATCGCACAATTGAGAGCCGACAAGACCCTAATAAAAATCCGATATCAGTGTACTGTCGGTAGTTTCATATTTGAAATCAATCACATACAAGGTAACCGGGTTGGAATGTGCCACGTGCAAAAATGAAAGTCACGTTCCTACAGGGATCGTCCCGCAAGTCATTTCCTGTAATAAATCCACGTCGCTCTGTGTGACTATGTGTCGCCACCACAATGCCAGTAAGAACAAGGAGAAGAGCGCGGAGAAACATGGTGGGTCGAAAAGTCTAAGACGAAGGATTATTTATTCTGGCTATAAGGGGCTTGCAACGTAATATATGAACGGGTGCGTCCTACGCAGGGTCTATCAGCAGCCACAGAAGGTGGAGTACATATTAGCGATTGAACTTAATTTCAGACTAGGCTGCAGATCAGAATTTCCACGCCGTATCCAGGTTTTTTGGCTTCAGCTTGATCCTGTTTTGAGGTATTTCACGTAGTCTTCTATGATTCTGTAGTCCGTACTACATAGTATGTACTTCGAAAATCAGGCTTTGATATGTATGTAGAATCTCCAGCTAGTATTCTATGGTGTCTCATATCATAACTGATACCACTCTCTCCTGGAGCTTTTACTACTTTGAAAAGGGAGGTTTTCTGTCGGTACAGAATTGTACGCCCAATCAAGTGACAAGTCTATGGATAGTTGTCCCGACTGAATTGGTATTTATTTATTCCTCAGGCTTTTCAAAACCTTAGGTCGTATGTCGCCTCCTAGCTCGTGTGCACCGCTCCGAGTATATGTATATTTGATAGCAGTCTAGTAATAGTAATACATTTCTATACGGAATTGAGCTAGTATCGATATTTTCTCTCGATATAGGCTATTATATATGGGTAGCATCTTTGCCCAGGTGTGTGGGGTCCTAGGAGAGCCAAATACAGCTGGTGTGTAAACTGGCTAGTGGTCGATCATTGGAAGTTGTCCCTCCGGTGCTACTATTTAGTATTCGGCCGAGCCTATCGCAACACCGACGCCCGGAGCAGGGCTCGTGCCTAAGACGGGGGATTAACCTCGCTGTTTAATTCTGTTGCTTCGGTACTACTAGTACTAAGTGGTATTATTTTTCTATGAAAATTTCAACGTGAAAATCTAAACAGAAGCAAGTTGACCTAGGTATGAAGAAGGCTCCACCTCCTTCCCTCTATATACATGGTAGATATATATTTACCTCTAAACACCAGCAAAAAAAGAAACGAAACCTTGGAACCACCAGCAGATATTGTTTATTTTTTACAACTTCTTAGTCCGATGTCGCGATTCCCGAGACAACATCTGCGAAAGCATGAAGTGATTGACATCCTCATCTCCCCAATATGTGAGGTGGCTGGCGATACTCGCGATGAGAGAAATATCGAATGCGCCCCTGCAGAGGAAAAAAAAAGTCAGTATCCACAATTTTTGGGCCAAAAAAAAAAGAAAAGAGAAACTCAAACTCACTCTTGGATACTATAATCCACCCGACCATTCGAATTCAAGCCGCGCACTTTAGCATCTTCAAACTTCAATTTCCGCTCCTGCTCTTCAGAATCAAAATCATTCTCACTACCCGAAGTAGACCGAGCATGATTCTGGCCCTTCTTCTGACCATCCCGACTCTTCTGAAACCCATCATAAAGAGTTTCCAAATCACCATCAATAAGAGTCTGAGGATGGTCAGAACCCTGAGAAGAATCCTGATTCGAAGCAGACTGCGACCTTTTATGACCGCGATCATTCGCGCCCGCATTAACAGCAGAAGAAACCTCATCCGCATGTAATCCCAAACTGCGATTCAGCAGACTACTCGCCACGCCAGAAGTAAAATTACTCCAAAGACTGCCAACACTCTGACCCATACGCGATCCAATAATAGAAAGACTCTGACCGGACTGCGTCCATATACTCTTCTTGACAGAAGGTAAAGGCTGAGGCTTGAGACTAGCCATGGCCGGAGAAATGAGCGGTTCAAGTCTATAACTAACCGGGTCAGAGGGGTGGAAAATATTATACAGATCGCGACATTGAGGCGCGGAGATGATGGCTGAGTTATCAATGGGTCCGCGACCAGCGTGACTTTGCGAGTCGCGCTTAGAAGAGTTGAGCGATCGGGTGGCTTTGGCGTCAAATTCGATGTCGAGGGCACTTTTGCGTTTTCTCGTTCCAAGAGGTGAGTATCCGGCAATTGTTTTCCCCTTGAGCATTTGGAATAACGCGATTGGAGAACCTAGGCAAAAGAACTCCTCACATTGAAAGCTCAGTTCGCTCTTCTCTTCCTTCCACTGGTCGGCAAGATCGTCACCTGGTGCTGTGAATTTTGTCTTGGGAGACTCGGAGCTATTTTGGTGGCAGAGGATGTCGAAAAGAATCGCGCTGCCTAGAGAATGACCACATAGGCTCACGGTGCCGTTGAATGATGGATTTCGCTGCTTGTAGAGCCCGATGATTCTGTTGCACTCTTGTTTCACGATATTGGAGATGTGCTCGCAATAACCGCTCTGATATAGAAGGACATCCATGGCTAGGTCGGATATCAGGTTCCGAACAGCCGGGACGCTTTCGAGCGTGATATCTGCCAGGCTGGGGTATGCGTCGTCATCGACGGTGTCGGCGTCGGTCAGATCGAGTTCCTTTCGGTTCTGTCGGACTCCACGGTAGGGGAAATCGAGTAGATGGCGCCAGCAGCTGTCCATAGATATTAGTTTAAGCCAAAAGCAAAAGCAGTATTTAGGGCGATTGCTTCTGCAAGGGTGACAGATAAGCACTGTACTTACACAGGAAGAACCTGAACACGACAATTGCCATCGCGGTCCGCAAATGCTGCATTCAGCGCCTGAAGATCCGGTGAAGCCTTATAGACAGTCTTGAGTGTCTTTCGAAGCACATTCACATCGTGTATGAAGTTGATACTCTCGAGTCGCAAGCCAAGCCGTTGACCAATACCATGAGTGACAAGGATAATATGATCGACTTCTCGATCTCGATCCTCACTATCGACTTCCCTCAAGTCTTCCATCTCCTGCTCCTCCTGTCTACGAGCTTGTTCCTCTAGTTCGGCCGGGTTTTGCGGCTCACCTGCTAGAGACGACATTTGTCGCTCCAGTGTTGACTGTGGTCGCCTGATATCTGGGGATTCGACTTCCGTTGGCCTTTCTATTCCGTCTTTCCCGCTAGACTGGGTGGTTGGAGTCTCTGTAAAGGTAGTAGAAGAGGGGACCTCTGGTGTTCTAGCGCCGGAGGATTTATCGGCGGGCTTTCGATCTCGATCTCGTTCGCGGAGATCAGATGGTTCTCTCGAGCGTTTGGGCTCGACTAAGCCACGCACTACTTTATTGCCTGGGGCACCGCCGAGTTTTTGATATACGGTGGTGCTAACACGGGACATGAAGTCATCAGTAGTGACCCAAGCCGTTGAGGAGTCTTGATAGGCCACGATTCTATTCATGTAGGCCCCGAAAAGTCGGTACTGACGAGACTCCATCGTGGAAGAAGCGGGTATCTTTCCAGTACCCTGTGAACGAGATGACTTTGATGTTGATGGTTCCGAGTACTGTGTTTGTGTTCCGGGCACACCGGGTCGTGGATCTGCACTGCCATCCGTACGGTCACGGTCACGGTCACGGTCACGGTCACGGTCACGGTCACGGTCACGGTCACGGTCACGGTCACGGTCACGGTCACGGTCACGGTCACGGTCACGGTCACGGTCACGGTCACGGTCACTAGATCGATCATGTTTCGCCGATGTCGCAGGGTCTCCGGAGCTGGCCTCTGCCACATCCGTTCTCCAAGGACGCAGCTTGAGATATCCTTCTTCCAACTGTGTTGCTAGATTTTCTTCGCAGGGCTTCAGATTCGACCCATCCTGAAAGAACCACGTTCCTCGCCGTACTTCATAAACAGGTCCAATCCAATAGGCAGGGGCCAGCTCCCGTTGTGCAACATCCACATCGAACAAATAATCCTCATTCACAGCGACCTTGGTGGAAGCTCGTGCCCGTTGTTGTTGTTCATCCTCATGTGGCGCCTGACCGTGGCCATGATCGCGAGTATTTTCATCTTCAATAAGATTCTGGAAAGTAGATTCAATCGATTGCGAATCCTTCAGCGAGAAAGGAATGAATTTCTTCGGCGGGGGTAGCGGTTTCTGATCCGATTTCTTTGCATCGTTCAAAGATGGTTTCCGCTTCGGCGAATCCACGGCGTAAAACCATCTCGCCTTTAACGGGGGACAATCGGATGGGTAATGGCGCTGGCCTAGCTTGTGTCGGTGTGTCACGGTATGATCTTCGCCTTGTGAGCGCTGCAAGACGTCCGAGCCAGAGCCAGAATTATGATTATTATCTGCAGGCTGAGGGGTTGAGCTCCTGGGGGTATTCCATGGGGAAAATGTTCCCAGAAATGACTTTTGGTCGGTGCCCGCCATAGGCGTTGGCGTTGGACGCGCCCGTCGCAGGGCCACGTAGCGAAGCAGTGTGGCAGGTAAGTTGGCTATATTTTATAGGAATGAGCAGGAGGGTAGTTCGAACAGTTTAGAGTCTCATTCAATGCCTGATCGTCGGTGCACCGGGGCCATTGTTTTCAAAAGAAGTGGGCGGCGTGGCAGGTGTTGTCGGCGGAGGGCGGGTTGCCTGGAGATCGTCCCGCATGATGTAAGAATAAGCTAGCGTGTGATCTCCACCACCTCCATCGGGTTCCAGTCCAACCAACTCCAATCTAAAGCCACGCCTTCATCACCTGCTTGAAAAGGGTCCAACCAACCGAGGTAGAATGGATCACCCTCACTGTGCGACATGGAAGGCGGGGCTCGTGATTTGGCCTCTGTCGAGGTCGATTCTTGATTTTGCTTGTTCAAAGTCGCCATGATCGCCTGTGCGACATACCGCGCATCTCGACTGGCGAGAGACTTTTCAATACAGATGGCATGGGCCTGGCTCAAAAGGGACAGAATTGAATCTGCAGTCGTAGGATCAATGACCGATTGACCGGGTTCCAAGTTCTTTCTGCGAATATGAATTGCCAAACAAAGCACCATGGCCCCCAATAAAAAGTCGTTCATCGTGAAATTAGTGAGCATCCACCGTTCTCGATGGAGTTGACCGCCAGATGAAAACTCTCGGTATATATCGATGAACTGGCTGACTAGTCGCTGGCCCGCTTCCACGCAGGATCTAGTACTAAACAGGTTACCTCTTGTCATGTACTTGCGATGGAAGACACACAGGCTCTTCAGATAGATGAATTCTACGTAGATGCGGGTCATCACGAGAAATGGTGGATCTGAGATCGAGTCTGCTAAAGGGCGAGTTCGTAAAATTTCCGGAATAGTTGTGTACATGCGTCGAATTTCGCCGTCAAGTTGCAGGATCTCGGTTTCGGATTTCTCCGTAAAGCTCAGCGTATCTCGACATACCTTTCCAAAGCTGACCATTTGACGATCCTTAACGATAAACCACAACAGACCAATGGCTTCAGTTTCGGAGCGAGATGGGGGTAGGATCTGAGTGTCCTCGTCGAAGTCGGAGTCTGACAGGTTCCTCGGTGAGCGCGTGTCACAGTTCTCAGGACAGATATTGCTAGGAAGACCCAGTTGAAAAGAAACCATGAGATCAATCTGTATACAAAGAGCCCAGAAACGACGACGCATTTCCCCTTCAAATACACTCATAATAGATCCAGATCCTAGAGAATCTGGATCTCGGTGATATCCCATCTCATATGCCATTCGCACAATCATGCCAAAGATAGCACCGACTTCCCGGGACGGATCAAGACTTTGCATGTTGATACAGTGAGCATAAAGAGTTAATGCTTCAAGCACATATCGTTGCGGGCGATGGTATTCCCCTTTGACAAGGCATTTTCCTGCTGCTTCCTGGAAGTGGGAGACTTCAGCAATGGTATCTTCTTGTGTCGTCGGGGCAATTCCAATGGTCCCGCGAACCATACTAGCCGCTGAACAAATAGAGAAGAGCATTGACAACCACAGAGGATTTGAATCTATCGGATCTTCCCAGAATGCACGATACTGCCGCTGGAACTGAAATGTATGGATGAAAGGAATGATGAACGTTTCTCCTTGGAAGTAGATTGCGAGTAGCCGGTCGACCTCTATCTTTGGAGGCAAGTATTGCGAAATGATCGTTTCCATGGAGTAATTACTCGAAGACCCGAATATAATCATATCCCTGCCGATGGCCGGAATTGCCGATGACCTACTAGCTGGGTCGGGCTCGGGAGAGTCATCTTGTTGGCTTAAAGCGGCTCTCAACCCTTGAATATCATCAAGTATTGCAGACCAATGGGTGGAGCCAACATATCGAGCTCTATTTTCGCCATCTGTAGCCTGAAATGATACTCGTGGATCGCAATCATTTGATTGACCTTCGAGGAGAGGTATTGTGTGGTCGACAGATGGCTTAGATGAAGCAGATGTTGAGTCTTGCATTAGACCCTTGACCAATGACTCCAAATGTGCAAGTCGATCTTCTGCCGTGTCGGACTGGTTGGGTCCAGTCAAAGTACGTTGATATGAGCAAAGGGCAGTCTCATCTTTCCTCATACATGAGCCACACGGTCTTTGAAGATCACAGCGAAGTTTTGCCTTGCGGCACTGGGTGCACGCTTGAGATTCACGGGGCCGCCTAGAGGCGCCACCAGCCTCCTTGCGGATCCGAAATTTGCCCGTTAGGCTAGAGAAGTCAGACATATTCTTCTCGAATGGGACTTTAATCAATTATAGCTCAAATTATGCATATAGGAAGGGTAATTAAGGGTAAGACCGGGCCAAAAAGAGATGATGACTGCTCACAAGGCTGCCCCGCATCGACGACGTTGCCCATGGATCGATCCTCCAATCCGAATGCAGGTGTCTGGATATTGAGCCAAAGTATTGAAAGAAGGGGAAAGAGTTGTTCGATCAAATACCTATCAATTATGGTCAAATTATCCAATTACTAAAAAAGAAACTAAATATCCTTCAAAGGAAATTCAACTCGGCCGACCGAATTTCCTTTTTGGGTAGCTCGGCGTTATCAAGCTGGCTTCCCCGAAATCCTCTGCGCCATCCAAAGGGTCGCGTCATGTCTTTGAGCAAATTCAAGCAGTCTTGACGGAAAATTGGCGTTATCGCCGAGAAAATAGTTTATGGCAGGTTGCCTTATACTACTATTTAAATAAACGCCTTGGGCCTCGTCTCTGGCTGTAATTCACGCTGCACTGATAAAATTTCCTTTGATATACTAGTATCACAAGATCTCTACAATGTCCGACTCGATCGTCTTTATTACCGGTGCTAATACCGGTCTCGGCCTAGAAATTGTCAAAGCATTGTTTCGGTCCTCCAAGGCATATACAGTTCTACTTGGAGGGCGCAGCATAGAAAATGCCGAGAACACAGCATGCCAGGTACGGGAGGAGTACCCCGACAGTAGTGCAATCGCTGTACCGATACAGGTTGACATTGAAGACGACGAGTCGATCAGAAAGGCGTGTGACTACATTCGCAGCCATTATGCACGAGTGGATGTGTTGATCAACAATGCAGGTAAGGCTGTCATTGACCTGGACCTGGACCTGGACCCTCGATGAGCTACATGGCTCTGCTCTACCCCGATCTAGTAAACTGACAAAGAGATAGGCGCTTCATTTGACCAGCAATGGAATCGTGATGGTGGACCGACGATGCGAGAGATATGGAATCGCTCATGGAATGTCAACACGACCGGGACTCACATTTTGACTTACACCTGCGCACCGCTTCTGCTCCAATCGGCCGATCCTCGACTTCTCTTCATCACCAGTGGTACGTCCACTCTGACCGAGAGTGACAACTTGGTGCTGGGAGTCAATCGGTCTCCGGAGAAAGGGTGGCCTAAATCGAGTCTCATGATTCCGGCCTATCGGTCTAGTAAGACTGGTATGAATATGATGATGCGCGAATGGACGCGGATTTTTAAGGAAGACGGAGTCAAGGCATGGTGTGTGTCTCCGGGGTTTCTGGCGACGGGGCTAGGCGGCGATCAGGAAATGAATAAGCGGATGGGGGCGATCGATCCAACAATTGGCGCGGAGTTTGTGCGGGATGTTGTGGAGGGGGCACGGGATCAGGATGTTGGGCGAGTTATCCGTCGTGACAATGTTCAGCCATGGTAGTAGATATGATGGAAGGAGGAAGAGGAGAAAGAATGCTGGTGCCTCTTGTGTGTTAGCAAGTACGAGTAACTTGAACATACATATAGTTAGTACATCACTTTCACTCATACATCCTCGACGTCATTCTAGACAGGCAGCAAGGGTGAGTTGGGGGCGTAAGTGAAAAACAAGAAGACGGTATGAAACAGGTACCTTCAGTTTGTATGAGTACACCTGCTATTTAGAAGTACCAGACCCGCCGACGCGGAGTGGCCGGGGTAAACAATACCAGTAAGTACCGTACGTGGCTGAAAGGACCCCCCACCTTGGCTTGAATGTGTATAGCGTAAGTCGTAAGTCGGTCGTATTCGTAAGGTAGCCTTAAGCCTTAAGCCTTCCTGCACTGCCCAGCAACTTCCTTCTACCCAATTCCTTCTTGGCCCTTGCCACTTCTCGCTGCCTGGAATCTACGAAGTACGAAGTACTTCTTCTTCCATCATTACCCCAGGGAGTCTTTGTCCCTTCTTCCCCTTCTTCCTTACCCCTCCCCCTCCCCCCCTCCCGTCGAGCCAAAGCTCTCCGACCGCTTGCGCCTGAACGGCTTACCCCTCCACATTCATCATGAATGTCCTCAAGCTCCAGAAGTGCGTATTCACCATATTCCATATGCAAGCGCAATGCCCCGACGACCCATTGCTAACCGTCGCCACCTTTCTTTCAATTTAGGCGGTTTCCGCAGCTGGACCAGGGGGAGATTTTCTCCCTCCAGGATGCATTCCGTAAGCTCGATGTCGATGACCGCGGCTACTTGGACGAGGCATCCGCAATCAAAGCCACTCAACAATCCGAGCGACAGCCGTATGACGTTGTGCGCCAGACCCTAAAGGGTGTGGAGCTGGATAGCTCTCGCCGCGTGGAGCTCGAGGATTATATCGATGTACGTGGTCTGCTTTGCTTTGCTTACTCGGGTTCACTTTGCTTTGAGTAAATGAGAACTTGAACTAACAACCTACCAGCTGGTTGCTAGGCTGCGCACTGGAGATGCGACCGGCGCCCCGAGTGCTTCCCCCGCCGCTGTCATCCAAGGAGCTGGAGCCGGTGCTGGCGCCGGTGCTTCCCGCCATGTTTCCAAGGGTAGCGTCGGTGGTAAGATCCACGTTCAAGGATCTTCGTCAAATGTCACCCACACCATCAACGAAGATGAGCGAACCGAATTCACCAGACATATCAACGCTGTTCTGGCCGGTGACCCCGACATTGGCGATCTCCTGCCCTTCCCCACCGATACATTCGAGATGTTCGACAAGTGCAAGGATGGTCTGGTGCTCGCCAAGTTGATCAATGACAGTGTTCCCGATACCATTGATGAGCGTGTTCTGAACAAGGCCGGCAAGAAGATCAAGCAATTGAACGCTTTCCACATGACCGAGAACAATAATATCGTCATCAACTCCGCCAAGGGTATCGGTTGCTCTGTCGTCAACATTGGAAGTGGAGACATTATCGAGGTTCGCGAGCACTTGATTCTGGGTCTGATCTGGCAGGTCATTCGACGTGGTCTGTTAGGCAAGATTGATATCAAACTACACCCTGAGCTCTACCGCCTTTTGGAAGAGGATGAGACCCTCGAACAGTTCCTGCGCCTGCCCCCAGAGCAGATCCTTCTTCGCTGGTTCAACTACCACCTCAAGAATGCCAAGTGGGACAGACGGTATGTGCTTTGAAAAATGCAGCAGCAGGATTGCGACGAATTCTAACAATGCTATAGGGTATCCAACTTCTCCACTGATGTCAAGGACGGCGAGAACTACACCGTCCTCCTGAACCAGTTGGCACCAGAGACCTGCTCACGCAGCCCCCTCCAAACCCAGGACCTGCTTCAGCGCGCGGAGCAAGTTCTTACCAACGCGGACAAGCTTGACTGCCGCAAGTTCCTGACCCCGACATCCCTGGTTGCAGGAAACCCCAAGCTGAACCTTGCCTTCGTTGCCAACCTCTTCAACACACACCCCGGACTGGACCCCATTACCGAAGAGGAGAAGCTCGAAGTCGAGGACTTTGACGCAGAGGGCGAGCGTGAAGCCCGTGTTTTCACTCTCTGGTTGAACTCTCTCGACGTGCAGCCAGCCGTCAACTCGCTCTTCGACGACCTGCGGGACGGAAATGTCCTGCTGCAGGCATACGACAAGGTCATCCCCGGAAGTGTGAACTGGCGCCACGTCAACAAGCCCCCCGCCCACGGCGGCGAACTGATGCGCTTCAAGGCCGTCGAGAACACAAACTACTCCATCGAACTCGGAAAGCACCACGGCTTCTCATTGGTCGGTGTCCAGGGCGCCGATATCACCGATGGCCAGCGCACTCTCACCCTCGGCTTAGTCTGGCAACTGATGCGTCGGGATATCACCAGAACCCTATCCGCACTGGCCCAGCGCCTAGGCAAGCGCGAGATCACCGATGCAGAGATGATTCGCTGGGCAAACGACATGTCCAAGAGCGGCGGCCAGTCCTCCGCCATTCGCAGCTTCAAGGATTCATCCATTGGAACCGGCCAGTTCTTGTTGGATGTGCTTAACGGTATGAAGAGCAGCTATGTTGACTACGACCTTGTTACGCCCGGACGAACGGACGAGGATGCCTACGCCAATGCCAAGCTTAGCATCAGTATTGCTAGAAAGATGGGTGCGACCATTTGGTTGGTGCCAGAGGATATTTGCCAGGTTCGCTCGAGACTGGTCACTACCTTCATTGGTTCCCTTATGGCTACGCATGAGAAGATGTAGATCAGTAAGCTGGCACTGGCACTGGAACTGTGTACTGTCATCTTACTTTACACATATCGAATATTTTCCCCGCAAGGCTGTTGCTGTCTCGATCTCGATCTCGACCTTCGCGAGGTTAGCTATAGTTATAGCTACACGCCAAGTACGCCATGCTGTGGCTGCAAACAAACCCAAACAAACACCTGTTACCTACGCTTTTTTGTTTCCGCATGTATATCTGATTTGAACATGGCGAACGAGAGAACTGGCTCGAAACCAAAAATTTCACATGTTAATTCCACGAATGATTCCTAGTACTACTACTGTACTAGCTCCTATCTCGTATCCCTGTTGTATGTCCCCTAACTAAAGGTGCTGATTAAACCAAACAACAGCCTGAGTAAAAGCAGACTCCTTCGCAAACCGAATAATAGGTTTTGTAATATCAGCACGAACAGCGAAGCCGTGCTCAACGCCGCTGAATAGATTGATTTGGTAGGGTTGGCTTGTTTTGGCTAGGATTTCTTCGGATTCGTGGCGTTTAGATGTTGGGAAGATTGCGTCCGTTTCTGAGATATTTTAGCAAACGTGTTTCAAGTTCTTTCTCGGACGAGAAATTGGACGTGAAGATAAGTGCGAAGTGTGAATTTTGAAGGGTGGTTGGTACTAACCGGCAGCAGCAATAGATAGAGGTCCCTTAATGGCTGCTAGTTCATCGGCCTCGACGAAACTAGGATGAGCGACGTAGGAAACGTCGATGTTACCAGGTTGAAGGAATCTGACGGCATATTTGGCCTGTGACAATGCGCGTTAATAAAATAAGCAGAAATATCGATTTAGGAGTAGAAGTGTCGAAGTAACTTACGCCAAAACAATACCCAACACCCCCAATCCGCTCACAACCCAAATTACCCTTCATCTCCTTCAAAATAGCCTTGACAACCGGATCCACACGCTCAGTCAAATGGCCCGGCGGACCCTTGAGCCACTTCATCAGATCGAAGCCCGGCGGGCGGTTCTCGGGTACGGGGTCTATCGGGTCGCCGTGGAATAGATCGGGCATGACGACGAAGTATCCATTCGCGGCGAATTGGTCCGCGATTAATTGGGCGTTTATGAAGCGGTGGCCGATTACGTCTGTTAGGAGGAGGATTGCGCGTTTTGTTTGGTGGGTTGGGGGGGTAGGTGATGTAGACTTCGACTGTAGGGGTATTATATGGGTTCGAGTTAGTAAATGATTATTTGAGTGGAGGAGGGTCTTGGTTAAGATGGTAGTAGTAGTAGTAGTAGTAGTAGTAGTAGTAGTAGTAGTAGTAGTAGTACACTCAAGAGCTAACTACTAGTTAGTGGTTGTAATACGCACCATCGCCGACCTGTTTAATCTGGCCTTTAGCTTCGCCTTCGTGCTTTACACCAATGGTGCAACATGCTGCGGGGGGATTGGATGCCATAATGACTGAGTGCCGGAGCAAAGATTTGAAGTTTGTAAGTGTCAAGTCAATGAGATCAGAGGAGATCAGAGAAATGAAAGATAAATGTGGGGGAAGCCAAGATGCGGGGCTTTTTATATGCCTGCCGATCTCCGATCCAATCTAGGCTACCCGGGGTACGTACATTCCCGAGGTCTAAGGTAACTAACTAAATTATATGATTAGATACAAACTGCAAAGAAAACTAGGACCCATAAATATCCCCAACCAAAAAACAACATTCCCCACTAATTGACGATCCCGCATGAACCGGGTTCGACTCAGAGATACCAGCGGCAATTGAGACATTTGCAAAATCAATAAGTAACCCCGCAGACGGCGGAAGATACACAACATGATGAGTTCATGTACACAAGCGGATAAGAAAAATGTTACCAAGCTCGCCGAGACTCGTGAAAGATCAAAGGCGGCGATGGAGCTGTGGTAGACGTGTCGGAGTAGGAAATTGTGTACAGGCCGATTCCAATCGCGGGCAAATTGGTCCCAGGAAACCGAGTTCCACCAGTCGGCGTAAAATCCGCGATCGGCGAATTGGGTGATTTCTGCCAGGGCATTTAACTGTTCATGAGAGGTGAGTAAAAACATTGGAATAAAAAAATATCAAAACTATTTTCCCCAGGGATCAAACTCACCACACACTCCCAAATAACGTAAAAAGCCAACAAATACTCCATCATAAAGGGAAACAGTAGATCACTCAACACCCAGGGGAATTCCTGGAGCCGCTGCACAACCGTCATCCCTTCTTGCTCCATGCGCAGAGCTGACA